GTAAAGATGTTTTGTGATGAATGTTTGTTGAATAGTTGTTTTGTTGCAACCTGAAGTGTGAAATAAGCTTCAGTGGACTTTGAAAACAAAATATGTGCAAAGGTTTTTCTGTTTTCTGCTTGATGGATTGTCTCACTTTGTGCCCTCTATGCTCTCTCTTCAGCTGATATCCAGTCGAGAGCTCAGGCGGTGTTTGCTGACGTCCAAGATGATTTCTGCGACGTTAAAAAGATTCTGTCTCGATTTGAAGAATGGAGGAGGTTATATTCTGACTCCTACCACAACGCCTACATTTCTCTGTGTCTGCCCAAGCTGCTCAACCCCATCGTCAGGCACCAGCTGCTGACCTGGAACCCGTTAAAAGTGAGAGCAGAGATTATGAACGATCAGGCTTGGCCAAACACGTCGAGGTGTTGATCATTTCTGTGTTTGTGTTACAGGACTTTGGTGGAGAATTTGAAAACCTCCCGTGGTTCACAGCAGTGGAGACATTTTGTCACGGACACGGCCATGAGGAGCTGGAGCACACAGACAGACAGACGCTCTCTAACGTCATAGAAAAGACTCTTCTACCCAAAATGACCAGTAAATATCACACACTCTTCATCATTTAGAATGTTAACTTCTTAGATCCTAAGTCTGTTATTGTTTTGTCTATTTCTCACCATTTTGTCTGTAGTTTTCGTTTTAACTGTGATTCCACGTTTCCTGTCTCAGGCATCCGTAACGGTCAGTAACTAAAACAATTTAGAGCCAGGCTTTCAGGAGTCATTAATTGAAAAAATAAATGTCATAGTTTCCACTGTGTGTGCAAAATCAAATCACAGTAACTAGTTTAAGTGAAGAATGCATAAAACCTTTGCTCAGAGAATTTAGGGAACCAAAGGAAACTTTGTTTTTCTTTCCTGGTTTTCATGAACACAATTCTTCAAAAATGTTATTATGGTTTTTTTTTTAATATATTAATTTTTATTTATTTTTTAGGTGCATGGTCTTATTCTAAATGTAAATTAAAATATAAAAAACCTTTTCAGCAGGAACACAGACCAACGTATAACTTTTTTAAGCTCCAGGATAATTTCAACATCGGAGAAAAGATAAAAGTGAACAAAAATAAATAAAAAATCAAAATAAAGCAAATAAAAGTAAAAAATACATACAAAAAAACTTACAAATAGGAAGAAAACCCACTTTCCCGTCCTTCTTTCCCACATGTTTCTCACTTCTTGTGGATTTATATCTCTACACTCATATGTCCATCAGCACATATTCACATGTATATGTGCATAATTCTAAAACATTAAATTATGAGACGTAGCATTAGCGACTACTTTGAAGCTGTATTATGCTTTTTGCACATTACTCAAAACAACAAAGTAATATTCGTGTTTAAATACAATTAAAATGCGTCTGCCTGACTAACGTTTTTAAAGAAGCTCGTTTTAGGAGACAACAAAGAGATTGTGGAGACGTTGGACTAGATTTCACATTAACAAGTTGTGTTTATATTTCTAATTCTAATGTAGCTTATTTTTTACAGAATGGGATAAATCTGCTGTGGCAAAAGACTATTTTTTAATGTCAGAAAATGTGACAGAATGTAGAAAACACCCCAAGCTGCGGTTTGAATTTTGGGTTTAAGCAGTGCTGCTGCCACTGCTTCACTGTGCTGCTCTTATCTTCACCAGCAGAGAGTTTTCGGTTTCTGTACGTTTTGGCTGTCAGGGCAAGTGAATAAATAATTTGTGTCTTTCTGCGCAGGCCATGTGGAGCTGGTGTGGGATCCATTTTCCCACCAACAATCTACCTGCCTGTCTGCTGTCTGCCACAGGCTGAGGGAGGATTACTCCATCTTTGAAGGCGAGCAGAGTAAACCTGTTAAGGTGAAGCCAACAAACTTTAGATTTATTGTGTTTACGTTTTGATGTTTAATTCCAAAGTTTTTTTTTGTTGTTGTTGTCGCTGAAATCCTATTTTTGTGTTGTCATTTATAATACTAATTAAATAAACTTCTGTGACCTGCATTCGCAGAGGAACGTTGACGGCACATGGCAGCGTTCTGTTTGTGAAAGCAATGGTGTGTGGAGTCGTTTATGCATCAGTTTAAAGTTTATTTAGCAATTAGACCAGATAAGATCATATCAAAATGGGGAACGCTAATAAAAATAACATTGTGGAGCATTGACTGCAGCTTTTGTAAAGAAGTCTGTTTGGATTTGTAGTCAGAAGCTCCGGTGGTCTGATTGTGCTCTGCTTTAGTGGAGCAGACTGGGTCATAATTGTAATTTTCATCCATTGTTTACATCCTGGTTTACCACCTCTGGCTTTTTATGGTGCAGAAATATGATGCATGTCTCAAATTAATGACGTAGAAGTTAGATAAAATGCAACATGACCAATCAGAATGCAGAAGCTTTGAAAACTATTGGACATGTATCCAAATTAGTGCCACATAGGGAAGTGGCACAGATTGGATATTTTTGGGTGATAAAAGAAATTGGGATGTTGAAACTGCAGTGAAATGGTTAGATATTGGTCACATATAGTCAAAAAAGAGGATTTGGATCTTATCCACCTGCTGCACAAATGTAGCCTATGAAACATCAGATAAACTGTATTTTCTGTTTCTTACAGGGATTTATTGAAGCAGTGGCTCAAAAGCTCAGAAGCTGTGTAGATGAAGATGTCTTCATCCCCTTGTATCCAAAAAAGTCAGTATACTAGTCATTGATCATTCACTGATTGGATTAAATTCCCTATTTACAAAGGATAATTTTGTATTATTTTGTGCATCATCTTCTCAGTCACATTAATGGTCCATTTGTTTTTCCTTCCAGGCTGCTGGAGGACAGATCGTCCCCTCAGAGCCGCTTCAGAGACGAACAGTTCTGGATGGCCGTAAAAGTAACTAATGCTCTAAAAGATGTCTCAGATTTTAAATGTTGTTGCCTTTAAATGTTTACAGGCTGTTTTTTTTTTTTTTTGTTAAACTAATCTGGATTATATTATGTCTCTATCAGCTCCTGGGGAATATGGGGAAATGGGATCTGCTGCTTCCTGACTCCATTTTGAAAGAACTAATGCTGGACAAACTGCTGAACCGATACCTGATGATCACCTTGTCTAGTGAGACGCTGTCAAGCAAAGTTGTTTCTGCACACAGAAAGGTATTTAAAGATATCTAAACACAGAGTTTATCCTGGGATCTGTTTGTAATCTTTCCTTTGGCTCCAGATTGCAGAATGTCTGCCTGACTCTTGGTTTGAAGGAGAAAGCGTCTGTCTGCCTCAGCTGCAGAATTTCAGGAACAACATTGTTCAGAAAGTTCACAGCCTCTGCAAACAGCAGCCGCCTGAAAATCCCAGCAGCAGGTAATTTAGCACCTGTGTTTAGATTATCGGTCGATGTCACGCTGCGTCGGCAGCCACTTACTGCGAACGTCGCCTTCAGAACGCAGACGAGATTATTTTACATATTTACAAATTAATCTTTTAAAATAACTGATAACTGCACAATCTGGTTCAAACTCTGTCCTCTGCAGGTCTGCTGTGGTCGAAGAGCTGAAGGTTCTCAGTAGGCTGAGATGCTATGACTCCATCTTGGCTCTAAGTGGGAAATACCATTACGAGGACGTCGTCTACTCTCATCAGCTACTGAACCAGGAAAGAGAATGAACAGGAACTGGATGAACTGAAAAAGACTCAAGTTAAACTAATAATCAGTAAAACACATGCAGCTGTACAACAAATTATGACTGTAGTCAAGATATTTTTGATGTCTAATACAAATTGTTATATTTTCGTGAATAAATGTTGGAATTTTGTTTATTTCTGAATTTTGTCTATGTGAGGTTATATAAAAGTATATCAGGGGTGTCAGTCATTTTCAGTGTGGGCCAGATCAAGATTATGAATGCTTTTGCCAGAAGGTATTAATAAAACTATTAACTTTTAATATTGGAGCTCAAATAATATTGAACATCCTTTCACGTTGATGTAATATGAACACAATTGTTACCTTGAAGTGTATATATACACGTTGGGCGACAGGCCGTCACTGTTAACTTATTCTTCTAAAACAAAAATTCTGAAGCATAAAATATATTTTAAACAATTTTCATTCAGCCTCTGATAATTCAAATGGAGTTCAATAAATTACGAAAATGTTTCATATTTGGGTAGATGAGAGTAAATCTATTTTTAATTCTGAAATGTAAGCAGAGGGAAAAGCATGTCCTTCAATGCACTCAGTACTAGAGTTGGGTGATTTTATTGCAATATTCTGTGGCAATATTGTGATAACGATGAAGGTTATGATAAAATATATACATATTTTTAGGTAATCAATAGTTGTCTTGGTGGAACTGATGTAGTTTCCCAGTTTTTCCTTCCATAAAAAAAAAATTCTGTATGTTGGGTAATATTCCTAATTTTACTCCAAAATGTGGGGGAATTACGTTGCACCTGGCTCATCTTCACCATTATCAGTGAAACTGAAGTATTACTGTTATTTTAACATAGCGGTGTGCATTAGAGACGAGACCTCTTCGTTTTGCTGGAGACACCTGTATTTATGAAGCAAACAAAATGATACAAATGCACAAAATGCTCAGAGAGGGTTGAATTGAATTGCTCTGATCCTAATTTGCATGTACAGAGCAATACTTATCAAACTAAACATGGTAGAAAGTTTAGTTTCATCAAGCATCATGCTGTTTGTTGAAGCGACAACAGGAAGTTTTGACAGGTCACTCATGATTTTAAAGAAATATCACACGAATAAATGCAAAGGTTGCAGCTTCTGCCCTCGCCTAAAGAAATTAGAAGGAAAAAAAGCATTCAACATGTTAATCATTTAAACCGTAATCCAACTTATCACTTCATTCGTCCCGTTTGTACATATGGATCATAATCTATGAGCAAAAACGGGAAGATAGAGGAGCTTTAACATTTGAAATTTGATGGGCTTTGGTCAAAAACAGTAGTGAAACATTCAGAAAATCTCTGTTAGATGCTTTTTATTATTTGTATGACAGTACACGTAAAATATTAGTTTTCTCTTTATTATGCGTGTCCAGAGGGATGAACTGAACCAAATTGTCCTGAATACTTCTAGTATCAGTAATGATGTCGGTGGAAAACCATGCAAAATTTAAAATTCTTTTAATGTCCTTGACAAGGAAACACAGCAACAATTGTGCTCAGTTTCCAAGTAAAATCTGTGAAATACTGAAGGGAAATCTGCAGAGATTCTGGCTGCAGCAAAGGATTAAAAGTGGAACACATCACCAAAAACAAAAATTGAAGCTTTTAATCAAAAAAATAAAAATAAAAAAGTATATATTTAAGCTAAAAGTTTCCCAGTTATAGTTTTGCGTGTTAGTAAATGCTCACAAAAGTGTCAGGATTAGATGACGGAGAACTGGATGCCATGTTTGTTGAGGCGTTCGATGAGGGTGGTTTTGGCGAAAGCGGCTCCTGGAGAATAAACTCCTCCCCTGGAAAAACAAACCATGTTTCACTGACAAACAGATTTAAAAATGTTTAAAACGTTTTCTGGTTTGTGTTCTGAAACGATGCTTGGAAGGAAAATAAAGCTATTTCTGGCTTGATTAGCACCATTTTATAGCATCACTCATATTTATTTAGCTTTAGTTGTAATATAATGCAGCCACATTTTCTCAAAAATCAGTAAATTTGTTGACTTTGGGTCAGGAATATGCTGCAGTTTTGGTGCCGATCCAGGTCTTTGTTCCTTAAAAATCCTAAATATAGTACTCTAAATGTGTAAATTGTGTTAGTTATAATTAGGTTTATATGGAAGGTACAAATGACAAACTGAATTTAAAAGTCTGGTGTGTTTAGTGGTGGAGTGGGAACTCACTTCTGGGGCAAAGCTGCCGGTTCGTTGAGCATCGTGAGAGCAGCTTGCACCATGGCAATGGGCGTGGCCACATATCCGGCCTCTGAGTCACAAACAATTCAATTAGATGAGCTTTACTCATTAAATACAAGCTGATCTCTGTTTCTGAACCTTGATTTTTCCTCTACAGTGGTTACCTGGTCCCTGAACTAGAGTGCGGATCTTGGCGTTGGGTTTTCCCTGCGCGGGGTCCTGACCGTCTGTGTAACCCTCGCCGTAGAAGGAGAACTGGAAGGATGACCCCTCCATCTAACAAAAACATATCGACCTAAATTAGTTTTGTTTTGCATATTTAAGCAAACGGGTCTTTAATGCTGACATCTTTCATTGTTTTACCTGCTTTCTGGTTGGTCCGGCTTTCGAGAACATTCCAAAGGAGAAAAACTCTGGATACTGAACAGGGAAATTAACAAATCAGATTTAAAAACTAGAGTTGCACTGTATAGAAGGGTACTTAATGCATCTTCCTCGTTTACCTTAATGAGCAGGTTGCGTCCCCAACCGCACTTGACCAACAACCAGAACATCATGCCAGCAAACATCAACCTGATGATGCTGCCAATACCTCCAACTCCAGCATACGCTCCATACTGGACCTGGGATTTATAGCAGGAGGAAATCATTCAGATATTTAGTTCAAACTATCTAATCTCATTGATTAATTTAAACATAAAAGATACAATCATTTCAGCAAAATCCGACCCCCTTTGGCACTTATATTAAAGTGGATAATAAAGAAAGTATTTGGCCTTCGAAGCCGACTTGAGAAACAGGGATGGACCGAAATCTTTAAAAGCAAGTGAAAATATTTCTAAGATAAAGAGTGGCTTGTTTTATCTTCAGTTCTTAGGGTTGAAAAACTAATAAATTACAAATATTGCGACAGATACATGATCAATATAAACAGATAATACATCTGATAGAAAATTCAATGTTTAATATACAAAATATTCACTGGACTCTGACCCAGCACCGCACGGCATTCTGGGGGATGTAGAGGAAAGACCTTTCAACCTCTCATGGTCCAGTTAGCAAAGTGAGTGGAATCAACTCACTCACTCACTCTTTGGTTACCTAGCAACTCACTCACTCACTCTTTGGTTACCTAGCAACTCACTCACTCACTCTTTGGTTACCTAGCAACTCACTCACTCACTCTTTGGTTACCTAGCAACAGCTTGTAGGAGTAACTGCGCAGCAGCAGTTTAAAGTTTCACCGCTGTGACTCATAACTGTTTAAAGATATTTAAAGCACAACACCAATCAATAATAATTGTTGATATTGATTAATATATGGAGACGGATTTTCCAGCCAATCAGATCCACTTTACATTAATAGCACAAGGTGGAATTTCTTGAAACAAGTCAAAGTCTGTCCTTACAAAGAAAAAAGATCCTGAATCTAGTTTAAGTTTAACTAGTTTTTAAATTCCTTTGTCGTGTGGAGGAGAGAGCTTACATAACTATTACTGTTAAGAATTGAATGACTTGTAAAAATATGTGTTATTGGCTGATATGTTCCCGTTTCCTGATTAAAAGGCTGTGTTGTGGCACCGACCGGCGTGGCTTGATGTTCCTCTGCCAGGAAGCGCTGGGTTCTTTTCACCACTGACGGATCAGAACCCATGAAGGGAAGCGCGTACTGCTGGATCTCATTACTGTAGAACAACGCTCCCCTACAAACATGCACAAAATGTGACAGTCACATTTCATGAACACTTACTGAGAAGGATTATTAAACAGCTTTTTTCAGATTTTCTGCTTGTCCTCAAACTGCCTGCAATTTCAACAAATAACCAGTTTTAACTCAAAACTAACTGGGAGTCATTTTATGATTATCAGATTCATTTTTGTCCAGCTATAGAAAGGAGAATATGTTAATAACACTGCTACTACTAACAACAATAAAGATTTAACATGAAGAAATGTTTAGTTCAATGGTGAGTTTCTCTAAGGTTTTTAAATAGTCCTAAAAATGTCTAATATTGATTTTATATGACAGTCAAAGTTTCCACCAGTTTTCACAAATAAACAATAACTTCTAGACTTGGTTACACTCAGTCAGCTGTGGACACAAATGTCTGGGCCATTTCTGCAGATTAATATGCTCTGGTTGTATGATTAAGCTCAACTCTTTTTCAATCTCTAACATATTTTTCCTCAACATTGCCCCGTTTTAACATTTTGGCGAGAATAAAATAGAAGCGACTGAACCTGCGGCGCAGCTTGGAGCCAACAGTGGGCAGCGGTTTGTGGTTAAACTTCCTTCTTAGACTCTGGAGATTCTGGCTGTCGGCGAAGCCATAGATGGCCGACTGCCAGGTCCCATCATGGATACACCCACCCTGACGGATGAACACAGACACACAAATCCTGATGAAGTGTAAGGCAGACATATCACTAACAAGAACGACCAAAATTAGAAAAAGACTGAATCAACAAGCTGGCTCAGTACACAGACTTATGGGTAATGTAGTATCTGACATACCTCAGGTCCCGCGCTGACAGTCAGAAAGCTCTCCACAGCAGTCAGGGTGCCTGTTCACACAGACAGGTTAGCATGATGCTAATGGTGAGCTCTGCAAAAACAGCTTCTAGTGCAAATATCTACATACTCTTGATATAAAACAAAAGCAACTTACAAGTAGTATTTCTGGAAGACGTAGGAGTTTAAGTCAAGAAGATAATGACAGGTTAATATTTCCAGTCTTACCCCTGAACTGATCTCGTGTGTAGATGACTCCCATGTCTGCAGGAATGGAGTCAAATCCACAGCTTCCAATGACGAAGACGCCTTTCTCTGCCGCCTGGCTGTTGTAGTTCAGCTGCATGCCCTCCAAAAACTGTCCGACAAAAACACCCAGAAGAAGAAAAACACACAAGAAACACTGCAGTGATTCTCATATCCAGCATTTAATTTAACATATTTTTAAACACAATGAATATTAAAGGTGACCTATGACGCTTCCTTGAACAGGTTAGGATAGGTTTATAAAAAACATGTTTCTTACATTTTTTGTACAAAATCATTCTTATGTAATGAGATTTCCATCTGCTCAGTTCTGCCTGTTTTCAGCTCCTTACAGAATGAGCTCATTTTAGGGCGCTCTGTCAATTTAAATCCAAATAAGCTGATGCTGGCCGCGCCCCCAACTCAATAGCTGCAAACAAATGCACAATTATAGAACCGTACATCTTTGAAAAGCAAAAGTGGAGCCTCCTGCACAACCAGCTAGAATGCGGGAGTGGTTTCTGGACAGCAAGTCAAAAACAAAACTCTCGTCTCTTCCAGCAGCCACTGTACAGCGAAAACAGCAGTAAAGCCAGCTGACCTAACATGCTGGAGCTCCACTTGGGTTGCTAGGTGACAGAGCAGTGCACATCGATTGTGACTTGATATTCGGAAGGTTTCTGAAATGGCTTCTTTTCCAGACATTAACTTACTACTATAAAAACTTCTTAATTGTTTTTATGCACTTGCGCTGATTTTACAAAGAGCTGAGACCCAAATGAAAGTAAAATAAAATTAGCAAAATGTGAAATTTGCATAAGAGGTCCCATTTTAAAAAAAAGGTAAACAGATTTGGTTTTTAATCGATCTCATCTTAATGTAATAGAGAAGATTTCAGGAACCAAAAGAGAGAAACCTTAAATTAGCTTGCGTGTCAGCAGGACGTGTTGAACCCCGTTCAACTGGCACAGAGCAGCTGCTGTCATGTGGACAAGTTGGAAATAATTTCATCCTAACCAGCTGCCGCATGAGAATCAGCGTGTCTCCAATTTAATCCAAACAAACAGCTTCAAAGATGAATGTCAGGACATCTACAGGACGGCACATGTTTCAGCATGAAGGCCTCACTTAGTTTGATTTTAAAAAAGTTCATCTCCAATCAGTTTTTGAAAAACGTGTAAAAAAAAAAATGTTTGAACAATCAGTAGATAATATCGACACCAACATCCAACAAGAGCCAACATCCCATAAATTGAAAATCTTCAGGGCCAAAATTAACCTTTTCTCTCCAGAAAAAGTTAATTTTATGAAGAAAATTAATAATAACAATAATGTTATTGTTATTATTATTAATAATAATATTATTGATATTATTATTAATAATAATAATAAATATTATTGTGAATCATTTCTCATTTACTTGCAAAATAAATGAATCAAGTAATATTTTGATGAAACTAACATTAGTATGACATTTAGTTTCATGTCATACTAATATTAAAAAACGCTAATAAAGACAACAAAATTCAGTTTAAAAACACAGAAACTCTCCACAGAAATCTCATCCTTAAACAATTACAAAATGGTCTGAATTTGCACCTTTCCTCCTCCACAGTCAGGGGCCACACAAAATTATTTCAAGGACCACAAGTGACCCACGCGCCGCACTTTGAACCTCCCTAATCTCCGCGCAGACAGATTAAAGAAAACAACACCGTCAGGGAGGCACTGCGCTAACCTGCGGCTCTCCAGAGATGTCGATGTGGTGCGCTCCGTTCTCCACGCAGGCTCGGACCACGGGCTCGCCAAAGAACCGGTACTGTGAACGCAAAGAGACGGACAGAACCTCATCCACAACTTCTCACACTTGAATTACTCTTTAGTTCCTCTTCACCTGGCACAGCTGGGCTAATCTAGAAATAAAAGCCTTTCCTTTAACGTAAGAAACAATTAACGTTGACAACCACCCCAGTTCAAATTCAATATAAAGTTTCTATTCTTATATTTCTTTCTTCATGAGATTCTCTTTAGTTTTGTCATTTTCTTATCCTGGCTTGACCGTATAACTGGATTGACTTGTTTATAAAGATTTTCTTGAAGTGCCTTTAGATAACTTTTTTTGTGAATTATCATAATAGAAATAAATTTAATTGAACGAATCATTCATTCATTTAACTTATTTTCTTAAATGCTCCGACTGCTGGACTTTAGCACCAGCAGCCATCAGAACCATCAGCAGATGTAATAAAACTTTTCGTGTCATTGACCGGGTTAGCTCAGTGTGTTAATTTAAAATTGTTAGAAATCTCTTTAAAGGCTGTTATATTTTACTTAAATACCAAAATGCAAACAACTCAACTAAGGATTTCCAGCAGATGCTCATCATAAACTGCTGACTGTCATTTTCCACATTTAAAACTGATACATGAAGACACTTTAAATGTTTTATTTTAGAATTTGTAACGAACAATTATACTAATAATTAATTGGACAATTAATTGGCACTTTTCTAACAATTTTTCATTTAAGCATTTAGGTCTTCATTAAATAAAATATTATAAATGCATTGAAAGATGCTAATAAATAATTATACTTAATTTAAAATAAACATTTTAGATAGCAAAAAGTGTTTAGTAGAATGTTTTTAGCTGAACTTGAAGCAGGTGAAGCTAAAACTGGAGGAGTTCTGGGATAAACATTTATAGACAAAGTCTTTTTTTTTTACATCTTAAATGCAAAACCTCTGTATTTTTTTAATTGTTTTATCTTAATTACTGCTCTGACTGTGTTCTTTCAGCAAAATTGTCTTTTTATGAGTCTTTATACGATTAATCGCTTACTAAATTAGTTGATGGTTATTTTGATAAATCGATTAATCCGATTAATCATAAATTATATGAAACTAATTGAATTTGACAAATGGCTCCAGTTCTAGTAACAAAGATGATCCAAGAAGTCATTGAATGCTAAGAGTATTTTTCTATTTTCAGTAAATGTTTAAACAATAAAAATTGTTTTAAAGTAAACTAAGCAACATTAACTGTTTTTGAACAGTGTTGTAGCCAGAGTGACAGATTAATAATCTGATTATTATGGGATGTTGGAAGTGATAAATATCTGGTTTAAATCCAGCTGGACTGACTAACTTGAATAACAAGTTTCAGTCGTACCAATAAACACTCCTAGTTCTTTTGAAACCACAATCGCCAACAAAAAATATAACATGACTTTGTCCTCTAGGGAATAAAAATGTGATCCGATTTAGGCTCATCGTAGAAGACGGATTCTTTTTGATTTCAGAGTTTTGCCGGAGTCTGAGCCAGCTGCGTCCATCTTGGTGTAAAACACAAAACTGCTACTGTAAAAATGACTCTGGCTGTTTTACAATGAAGCTCATTGTGTGCTGCAGTCAGTGTCTCTGCTTTCCAGTGAAGGCTGCTCTGTGTTTCCTCTGTGCATGCGACGCCGCAGCGACAGAGGAAAACAGAAAGCAGGCGGGCCAGATGAAGCGCTGCACTTACGCCAAGAGAAGATGCCAACATGTCAGAGCTGAGCGACAAAGTGACGTTAAGAATTGAATTCTCTGAAACGAACGAGCACATTTCTGTGGAATCGAATGTTTACCGGGCCGACGCAGTTCAAAACGATCACGGCCTGCTTGCACATGGCTGCGAGGGAGTCGGGTTCGCCAACGTCTGCCACGATGACGTCCACCTCTGTCCGGAGCTCTGGCTTACCTGTGAACAGAAACACACCTGAACAACGGAGCAACGCTTGGATTTAGAATAAAAACCAAACATCAACATTTACCTGGCCGTTTGGACAAAAGCTGCAAGAACAATGGGTGAAAAAAACAACAACAGCCTTGAAGTGTGTAGACAGATAATCATTGCTTATTATTTATCGTGAAAAGTTTCTTGAGGATTTGGATTTATATAAATTTCAATTAATGATGTTTAAAATCCTTCAAAGCTATCTGTATTGTTAATTTGACTAATTTTGCCATTTCTTTTTAATTTCACTAAATATTAATGACTTTGAAAAATATGATTAAAGACATTTCCTGTGAGCAGTTCAGTGATTCACGCTTCTTTATGTGACTGGAGTAAAGAAACATATTCAGTCACCTAAAAAATAAGTAATAAATCCTTCTTATTGTTATAACAGTATTATAAAACACTGTGATAAAACTTCCTGTCATCCAACCCTGTCATCATTCTTCTTCTTGCTCTTTCTTGGTTTTCGTAAATAAAATACAAATGTTTTGTCCAAGACAAGATTTCTGGACAAGGATTCAAAATAAAAAAAAACAAAAGAACAAGACAAATTCAAAACACTCAGTCTAATATGAAAAACACTCAAACAACTATTTAAAAACTTTTCTTAAGTGGCGCTCAGCCACATTTTGATCTTTTAAGTCATACTGTTGAGATTTTTTTTCTGCATTCCTGTGGGTTTTTCTAATGCTTTTTGATTTTGAGACGATATTTAACATATTTTCAGTTCAGTTTGTGAAACTACGAGAGCATATTGCCCCGCTGTTAATTGAAGAAAGTGGAGGAAAATAGGAAGTGAAGGGCCTCTAAACAAATATAATTATGTTTAAAATGATCAGCTGAGCTTAAACATTGAGTATTTCTCTGTTGTTTAAAACAAATGAAAACCTGACTATAAAAAAAATGTAAAATGAACATAAATCAAAATTTATGTTAGGAATGTCATCTTATAAACGTAATACTGCACAGAACATGAACATATTTTACAACAAACCTGCACTTCTTTCTTTTTTTTAAACATTCAAATACTGTGAAGAATTTAATTTTGTATTTCCAGTAGCTTTAAGTTTTATTCATAAGATTAATTTGAAATGAAACAGTTAAAACACATAACCGTGTTCGTAAATAATCTGTTCATTTGCTAAACATTTTGATTTTTTTTTTCTAGGCAAAAGGAGCACAGTGGAATAATTTTTTTTTTGTTAGTGTCCTGAATTAAGGCAAATCTTTCCTGTCAAGATGCCTCTTAAAAAAGATAAGTGGGTTTTCAAATCATTGCTCAAACATGATACAAAATATAAAAAAAATATATCTAGCATCATGCTGAAAGTAAGCAAAACTAATTTGTAAATTAGTTTACAAATAATTAACAAATCCAGTAAATTTTCACATTTCGATGAATGAATGTTTAACTCATGGACAAGCAACTTCCATTCGTAGATTATGACACCCTATAATATAAGTTTTCATACCTCTACAATAAATCCAAATTAAAGCTTATTTTACCAGCTCAGAGAATAAACAAAGAACTCATAAAGATGTGGGCCATCGGCCACATTCAGAGGTCGATTCACCTGGTCCAATAAAGATGCAAACTGTACATTTAAACACAAACCTAAAGCAGGTAAACCTAAAAGATGAGAGGCGAAATGCAAATGACTGAATTACAGAGACGTTCAGCGAAGGCTGGACTGTCAGTTTACTTAAACTTAGTGAGAACAAAACAACTAAAGCATAATCACAAAAGCTGCTTTTATGATAATTGCTTTTGTATTTATTTTCAGCTTTAAAATAAATACAAGCTAAATGAAAGAGAAACAGCACACCCATGATTAATGGGCCAGATCTCATGTTCTGCTGGGAGCCTTGGAGGAGCTGCCATAGTAACAGCTATGCCAGTTATTACAAATATGCTTCTGTAGCAGTCTGAGGTGTCTCCAAGGCAAAGGATGCATTTTCCTTCCAACTAGATAACTTCAGCTCCAACCACATAACTGCGGTGGGACAGGTCGGAGCATCAGCAGCTGGTATGTCCCCTCAGCTGTCGAAGAGGAGGAGACCAGAGAATTACCCTCTAATCCTGGAAACTTTTGTTACCGGGACGACAAATTAATAGATTTGCAACTGGACTGGATTTTCCATCAGTCTGGTTGACATTATTCCATGTCATTAATATGAATGCAGTCCCTGTCTTTGTTGAAAATGTAAAATAAAACAACTTAGTAACTGATTTTCAATTGATTAGCGATTGTAAAGCTAAAGGAATGCATAAGCATGTTGGTGGATAAATATTCTTCTCATGCAGTACTCCATCTTCTGAAAACTAAATATTAATTATCTGTAAGTTATTGTCATCATAATAGAAATGAAGGCTTGAAAACATCAACCTGTGTGTAAATATTCTACATTATTGTGAAGTCTGATATTTTTGGAATAATTTGCAATCAGGAAAAAGTGTAACATAAAAATAAAAAATTATTAAAACAATGAAAAAAAGATATCATCAGTTCAGAAATTAACATTACAGCCATTTAAAAATAAACTCTGATATTTTTTAAGGCGATTGCAATCAGTGTAGATTATTTTGTAAAAAGGGAATGATGCTATTTTGTTTATCTTTATCTCACGTGCATGTTTAAAATTGAGACTAATGCTCAACAAACATCCTTTATTTGTTGAGCATTTATTTCATGCGTCCATTTCAATGCAGTTTATAACAGGGTCAAAGTCATCGCCAACTGTTCAATCTGCATGAATTGCTTCATCACCTTGAGTTAAGCAACATCTTTGAATCAAGCCAACTAGAATACTTTATCTAAAAATGAACAAATTGAACTAATAGTCATACCTGCTGTTGCATTAAAAACAATCTGCACAACTAATGTGACTAATCGGATACATACTGAGGACTCCAGCGGCCTGCTCCAGAACTTTTTCCAGTTTCTGCTTGCTCCTGCCAGCCACGGCCCACTTCAGGCTCCCCTTGGGTCCCTCGGACGCGGTCCGGGCCACCTCCTCCACCACGAACTGCCCCGTGAAGCCAGAGGCTCCGAAGATGACCAGATGGTACGGCCTGCTGGAGGTTGTCTCTACCCTCGCCATGGTACCAGTAGACACTCAGACAAAGAGAAGAAGTTCACTGCGACACCTTTACTGTCACAATGAAGGGGCTGAGCTGCCCGCTGCGCTTTTCACAGCGCTGCTTTGTCTACTTCCGTAGCCAAACTATGCTAACATGCTAACAGAAAGTTGCAACAGCCACGTGCATGACAAGGAGGTTTCATATAAAAAAAACGTGTCATATGTTTGCATTATATATCGCATGTTTATTTTTCTAACGAGTCATACATACTATCAAAACTCGTCTTGCTTTATTAATATTTTCCAACATTCATATTACGTTAGCAGAACGACTTCCTCGGGCTTCTGATTGGTGTTTGTAAACATGTGACGCACTGTCAGCGTCAGGATCGTACGTCAACCTCTCCGCCATGTTATAAGTGGCATGTTGCTTGGAAAAAACAATAGTTCTCCAATTTATTTCATGTTCCTTAAATATATCTTTAAGTATTTTATGATTGGCAGGTATCATTATATATGTTTCATTTTTTAGTGACCTCTAAGCATTTATTTAATATTATTTAAATATATTGAATTCAGGGCTGCAGAGTGGCGCAGATGGTCGATCTGCCATGCAGCAAAAAGTTTGACTCTTTCTGCCAGGAATTTGCATGTTCAAATTATTTTTTTTAAATAACTGAATACAACGGAAAGAAAAAATACATTAATAGCTGATACACATATCTTAATGCTACACTAAAAGAATATGTGAATTGCTCTGCATTTTATCAAGCTAACATTTAAATGTCTTCCAGACATATAAATACTTACAAATCCGTTTTTCCCTGGTGCAAAACGAATTCGTTTGTTCGTGACCTGTTTATTTTCTCCTAAATTCCTGTTGACAAGGTTACCTGAGAAATGCGTCAAAGATAGTCTGCCGCTTAGAGAGCTGACGCTACAATTTTCGAACTGATTCACCATTAATAAGTTAATGTAACTTATTTCCATTATAAAATGTACAGTATTTAACTGAGTGGAGTCAGTTAAATACGCCATTCAGTTGAAACTGCTCTACTAGGTTTAATAAGTCTACTGTATTTTCTGTAAAGATTAAACCATTTGAGTGAACATTGAAGAAATACAAAATTATGTAAATGTTTTCATGGCATGCCTGATTGAATAAGTAATACATGCTGACTTCAAAAACATTTAACTTATTTTCCACGTAATTAAGTCTATGTAATTAGACGAGATGATACAAGGAGGTAAAATGATTTAAAATAATGAATTTCTTTTAATATTGGCGTCTATAAGTAACTAAGAGAATTTTCTATCTGTCTTGGCACAGATAGAATAAGGTCAAGTCAAATACAATGTTAGCATATGAAAAATAGAAATCCATTGAGCGTATTTTATTGTGTAGTTTGGGTAACTGACATCTCTGCCACTCAAAATATGGCGATCGCGCTGATGTATGTAACTGTCACTGGAGAGTGACGTAAATCTCATGCGCCTGCGGCACCACGAGTGCTGCGAAAACATCTTACGCAGGGGGTCAGGATGCAGCTCAATGTCACCCCTTTTTTCTGCCGATATCAGGCACGGAGGGACGTTTTGCCTCACTGATTCCGTCCGGAACAACAACACCGGACCATCTACGAAGAGTTTAGCGGGAGGTTAGTGTTAACGTTTTTGTTTTAACATCGGTATTTCCCGTAGCACCCTAGGAATGTAAAAGCACGGCTAGCCAGGCTAGCTAACTTAAATAGCAGTTTGTTGTCGTTAATACGCAGTTGGTCTGTCTTTTCTGAAAGCTAATAGTAACAATATCGAACCTGGCTTTGCTCCTTTCGAAGTCGAGATGCTTCTGAGAAGTTCTGTTAGCAATAGCTACTTACTAACTGAACAAAATGTACTGAATTTGACCCTTCTGTAGTTTTTTCAGATGTAATTATCTTAACTTTAACTTACTTACCCGTATTTACCCATTTACTTGTAAATATTATTCTTAGCCACATAGACTGATGCTTAGACGGGGTAAATAAATAATGCAGATTGAGAAATGGTTGAAACACGTGCCTCCAGTTATGTGTCTCTTGTATCTTACTTTTCTTTGTAGGCTGTGGCATTTCACAAAGGTCTCTTCCCAGCCCTTCCATCGTGCTTTATGTCTGCTGATCCACCATGGCCACTCAGATTTGTAGAGTGCTGGAGCTGATGGTGCGCTCCTCTTGCTGCCACACCATTAGAAGTAGATCATGTCTTCGAAAGGCAGTGCTGGCCCCAACAACCTCTGTCCCTGGGGACCCTAATACTCCTAAGAGGGCCTACAGCCTCGACTCTTTTGGTACCGGTCGGCCCTCCATGGGTTCCAGTTCACATCAGCCCCGCTCAGAGAGAACATCCCCTTCGTCAGCGCTGGTACACAGGAACCTGTCAGCGGCAGCTGTACAGGTTGGTCATTTTGTTTATTAGACTCTAGGTTTTTATTTACTTACTTTTTTTATTTTTAAATGATGCCTTTTTTCACCCACAGGTTTCATTTAGAAGTGCATCTTTTTCACACACTAAGTATAAAATATGTAAAGAAGAGAGTCATTTTCAATACAGTGAATATTAGTAAACTCAGAAAAACTTCATTTCATTAGTTGATGTGTTTATAGACTGAAAATGATGCCACAGTCCAGTTTTTATATATTTGAGAAGGTAAACATTTATGATTCTGATCAATGTGACAAATATAAAGTTAATTATTTCATTTTCTTTCACTATTTGTTGGCATTTGTTTAGTTAGTCACAGTGCATATCTTTTTCTTAGGGCCAGTTTCGTCCTTTGTGCCGCTACGACTACCTGGATCTCGGGGAGGTGGAGGAAAATCTACACCGTGCGCAGACTTGTAAAAAAATCAGACACTTTATAGTTAATCCAGAACTGGCCAACGTGGTCGCACTGCATTTGGTTCCTGACCTGCAAGATGCTAAGACCATCATCTTCGAATGTAATCCAGGTGAGAAACAGCAGATCTGTGACGTAACCTTCAGAAATCTTTTACTGTATTTCTGATATTGTATAAAAATGGCTGAAGTAGTTAATTAAAACTCTTCAAAATATGCTAATTTTTTAAATCAAATTAATTATCATAGAAGGTTTGCAGTTCAGTTTGTTGTGAATGTTTCATTTGCAGGTCCTGGAGTTTTGACGAAAGCACTGCTGAATGCCGGAGCTCAGAGAGTCGTTGCTCTGGAGGGAGAGAGGAGCTTCTTACCTTACCTCCAGGTAAATTAACTTCCTCTCAGGACCACATTCTTTTTCACTTCTTTTAAACATACTCAGTTATTGACAAATTAATGTTTTATAGAATATATAATTTAAGGTAAGATATTGATGACAGGTTTATGTTTCAGGAACTGGAGATGCGTCTTGATGGTAAGCTAGAAGTGGTTCACTGCGACTACTTCAGGCTGGACCCCTTTGGCAGCGGCCTCGTGAAACCTCCCACCATGTTTAGTGATAAACTGTTCACTGACCTGGGAATATCAGAGGCTGCCTGGACTGATGGTGAGGAGAAAAAGATGCAGAGGTTGAATGACTTCCAAGTCCTTCCTTTCCTTATTATGAGCATGGTATTGGTATCGGGCGATATTAGCTGTAAAATGTAATATCGGACATCGGCCATTCAGTCAAAATAACTCACAGATATAAAAGGCGTTGTTTTTATATGACAAACAAGTGACTGTGAGGCCTGCAGCACAGCACAAAGTCAAATTTTTTCAGTTTGAGTGTCATTGTCTTAAAGAGAGCAGATGTCCTGTAAATAAGTTTGACATTAAGTTGAAAGTGTTGGATCATTTTCAGCTTTTGCATTTGGTAGCAGGTTAAATTTACAAGTAATGCTATATTTTAATTCCACAGCAGAGAAAGCCTCATGGTAATTGCATATAGGAAAAAATATCGGTATTGGTTATCGGTCATATAAATTTTAGTATATCGGCATATCGGATATCGACCAAACATCCAATATTGTGGATCCCTACTATGAATCCTCAACTCTAAACAGAGTGTTTGTGTGTCTCTGTTTTCAAAAAGCTGAAAAGCATTTGTCATTGTGTGTATTTGTGAATCTCTGCAGACGTCCCTGTGAAGGTGGTGGGGATCCTGCCAGAGCGTAATGGGCGTGGCACGCTGCTGAAGATGGTTTACGCTCTGTTTGAGCGATTGTCTGTCTACAGATACGGCAGAATAGAGCTGAACCTGTTCATCAGTGAGAGGGAGTACATGGTAAACAAGAATAATAATATTAAATGTATTTTTATTTATAACATTTAATGCAGATTTTAAACAGGGATTCTACACTTTGTTATTGATGTGAGGTTTGTTATTGATGTGAGGTTTGGTTATGAACTGATCTAATGGTTGTGTAAAACCTGTTTGTTAATCCATCAGAAACTGGTGTCCCGTCCTGGTGAAATGTTCTTTTACAGAGCCTTCGGTGTCCTCTGGCAGATGGCTTGTGAAATCGAACTTCTGCACAAGGTACACTTCTCCTTTAAGTTGGTAACTATGGTTTTTATCTTTTGTGTTCCTATTGGCCCTTTGCACGTGAAACTAAAAGATGTTTCTCTTTTAGTTTCCTGTCTTTTTGGACTATTTTCAGCCACCTGATTAACAGTGTGCACCCATCAATGTAATTAACTTGTCAGTACCATCAACAGTTTTGCTAATAACAATAATGTGCCAATAATGTTTTTTTAAACCGTATGAAATTTTAATAATAACCTGCAAAAATCTTTTGAAAATGAGGTATATTTGAGGTATGCATAAAAACAATTTTCTTTCTTACGCAGTTTGCTGATTTAAGAATATCATTAATTTAAGGCAAGCCTGTCCAAAAAAGCAGTAAATCAAATAAAATGAGTCAGAACACTTTGATTTGCTTGTTTTCTGTATTTTGAGTAACATTTAAAGTAATATTGTTGAAAACATTTTGCATAAAGTCGATTGTTTTTTATTATTATTTTAACAAAAGTCCTACTTTGCAGTGTTGTATATTTTCCTGTCTGAAACTCATTATTAATGTTTTCAAAAGCAATTTAGTTTTTTTTAAACACTTTATAATGTATTGTATTTATAATTTTGGTTCTTCTGTTTAGTTATTTTAGATATTTAACATGTTGTCCAGCTCTAGTATTAAATGTTCTTTGGAAATTAAAGTTTAAAACAAGGAATAACAAGATGGAAAATGAGTTTGAGTTGTGAAGCTGTAACTTTTTAAAACCTTTCTGTGCCTTCATGCCAGTAACTGATCCATGTCTGCAACACATCATGACACATCATGTGTTGATATTTCATTCCTCCACCTCCTTATCTGTGTGTTCAGGAGCCTTGGGAGTCGTTTGCTGTGTCTTCAAGGCAGAGTATACACAACTCCAAGGGCAAGGTAACAGAGCCAGTCCATAATCAGCAGTGATATAAACATATATAGTGTTTAATGAAACATTTGGTCGTTTTCTCTCCCCGTAGCTTCCAAACGATCACCTGTGCCTGGTTCGCCTGCGTCCCCGGGCCGACCTGTTCTCCTCAGGCCTCATGCCCTCCAACGCCTCAACCCTGATCATGATGGTCAAACAGTGTTTGGCGAAACGGAAGGCCAAACTCATTGACAGGCTCAAGTAAGCCGACGGCATCAGACGAAGCTAGCACTCACATCACACACGCAGCATCAAAGCCTCACACTTTGAAGAAAATTGATACATGAGCATATTTATTCTTTTTTTTTTTTTTTTTGCACAAAATTATTCTTAGATAGTGAGATTTTAGTTTTTGTACTTTTTAGTTAATTATGTTTGTAAACTGTGGAGTATCTACTTTAGACCAACATTTAGCTTAATACTGGAGCAAGAGAAACTCAGGTTAATTCATTACTTGGCAACCCAGAACAAGAATTAAACATGGAGAACCAACCAACATTTAGCTTTATGCTTTTTGCTTTATTACATTTATAAATTGTGGAGTACTTATTACAGGGTTTTCCCAGTGTATTATAAGCCTGGCGGGCCGCCAGGCTTTATTTGTGCCCCCTCCAGGCTAAGCATTGCTTATTTATCTAAGTCTTTTTAAAATGTTTGCATTTTTAAGATTTTATAGTTTCTCAAGTATTAATCTTCCAATTTTTCAATGACACATAATTATCAAGTGATTTTTTTCAAATTTCCTGTCAACTTCAAACATTTTTTGACTCAAAACCACAGCGGGTCGCTGGATGAATGACGGCCCGAGCGCCCAACCACCAGGTTTAGCAGGTTTATTATGGATCAACATTTAGCTTTATACATTTAATATAGGAGGAAGACCAAGAGAAAGTTCTGTTAGCTTATGACTTAGCAACCCAGAACAAGAACCAACATTTAGTTTTATAAATTTATAGAATTCAACTCAGAACAACTGGAACCAACATTTAGTTTTATACCTTACTAATCCAGAACAAACTCAAAGTCCAGAGAAACCCCTACTTGTTCATAAATGATGGGCTACTTATGTATTCAGATTAAACATGGGGAACCATCATGTAGTTTTATATTTTACTTTTTTGTCTTTTTGGTTTTGTTTGCATTTGCTTCTAATTCATGTAAGCCGTTGTACAGCCCATACAGACCAAATCAATTCAGTCTGCTTATATGGAACCATTTCATAACAAATGTCATCTCAAGGAACTTTAATTCAGATGTGCTGGAGTCCCATTAGGGTTGCTCGGTGATTGGTTAAGCAACAGCACAGTGGCCATTGATTGAAGCTTTTGAAATAGATCATTTTCAAGATGCCAAAAATTATAAACTTGCAGTCAAAAAAAAAATTTTTTTTTAAAGTGCATACACTGTTTTTAGAAGCAGTTAAGATTCAAATGGAAGTACTAGCAGCATGTTTTTAATAATTTTGTTCATCTTGTCAAAGCGTGTGGTTTTATTTCATCATGCCTCTTATTTGTTTGATTTTTTAAAATCTTTTTTTTAGTGTGTGGTCACCTGACAGTGGGAGCAAACTGTTATCAGAGCTGGGCTTGCCGGAGGACATCCTGACTGGAAACGTTTATCCAGAGGAGTACCTGCGACTTTTCCAGCTGATGGACAAGAGTCAGGAGTTCACACAGAGCTGGCTTTATGAGGAGATCCTGGAGAACACACAGAGGGAAGGCTGGGGCTAAAATAACAACACAACTAAACATGTGTTCAATAATATGATGAAATAGAACAATAAGATAAATAAATAGCCATAAGAGTTTGACAAACTATCCATCAGTTCTGCTACTGAAATAGCTTAAAAGTTTCTGCTTTAAATATAATTTCTTTAATTTATATTACAGTGACTTCATAGTTTGGACATACATATACATAAACATGAGGCTCTTCATCCATCACTGAAGCTTCAGGATATGCAAGTGATCTCATACAGCCAACATCCCAGTGTGCTTCACTTGGTAATACAGCTGCTGTTTTATTTAGTCAGTTTATTGCAGTAGCAGTGTAAAGACCTGCATACTTCTTTATGTGAAAAAGGAAAAAAGCAATGCAATGCTGTTTCATTATATAACAGCAGCTGTTTGTATTTTTATATTTGTGAGTCCATGATTGTTTGTGCATGTGAAATCTCATGCTCTATGAAATATATAAGTTAGATATGTTAATTTAAAAACAAACTGTATCATACTTTTTTACTCCTAGCCCAGGTTTTATTGGTGCTTTGTCATTTGGTCATGAATCAGATTGATTAATAAAGCTATTGTTTGCTTTCTTGGTCATTGATAAAAAACAAAAAAAGTGATTTAAAGTTGTTTGCATCTTTCTTTTCAAATTTTTGTCTGATTTTTGCTGTTGAAATCCACAGATCAGGTAGATAATCTGTTTTCAGAACAATCCTGTGCACTCCACAAATCTGGCTTTTATGAAAGAATGTTTAAAGTCAACAAAATGAAGAAAAATGACTATATACTTGAGTAAACATGGTGGTGGCAGTATGATCCTATGGGGATGCTGCTCTTCAAAAGGGCCAGGGTTATTGGATGCAGTGCACTGGGAAATAAACGAGCTATTCACAGAAAGATGGAAGCAGAACTTAAATGGTTTACATCCAAGCTGATGTTAGGATGACCTATTTCAAGCCTAGGTATAAATCTACTTTATAATTCATGACAAAATATATAAGCTGATGTTCACAGAAGTTCTTCATTCAAATGTGAATTAACCTGTTTTGGAAAATTCTCAGTCTCAGTGCACAAATCTGGTAAAAACATAGGTCTCAATACCATTCCTCCTTCTGTATTAAAAAATGCTTTTCAAAGCTTTTTTTTTTCTTTTTCACACTGTCTAGTATGTAGCCCAAAGTGGCTTAGATTACATTTTCATTTTTTTTCCAAGAGAAATTTTAGTTTTTTCTAGAAAATTTTGGGCTTTTCAAACATTTACTGAAATTAATCTCAGAATGTCTTGAGTTCTTTTCTAGCAACATTTAAAATCTTAATTGGAACTCAAAAAATAGTTTTTTCTAGAAACTTCCTGAGATGAAATGAAAAATTTCTGACTTTCTTAAAAACTTCTGAGATTAATCTGAAAATGAGATATTTCTGTTTTTCTGGCAATTTTTTTGACTTAGTTATCAAGAGTTAAACAATTCCTTCTTTTCTCTAGAAATCTTATGAGATTAATCTAAAAATGACTGAGGCTTTTTTCTTTCTTTTTTTTTTTTAGCAAAATTTCAAGTTTTGAAACAAAAATTCCCTCGATTTTTCCAGAAAATTTGAGTTTTTTGGGGGCGGAAATTTACATTTGTTTTCAGTACATAATGACCCTGACGCACCGTCGCACCCTTCACATCGTTGTGCTGCTTTCTGTTGGTGTGTTACGCGAAACACGACGTGGACGGTAGATGGCGCTAGAGCTCGCGGTCGGTGTAGCTCACACACTCAGCCCGGGATCCGGGGAGAGCGGCAGCAACGACCCCTGGCTGTCTGTGACTGCGGGTAGCGCTTGCTTTACACTCCGTACAACAACAACAACATCCTGGGCAAGGTGTCTGATGCTGAGCCCTACGCCCTTCAGCCTCTCTCTTCAGCCGTAAGTACGTCCCGAACGCGCTGCGTCGTAACGTTTATTCCGTCGCAGCAGTGGCGCGACAACCAGCGCGTGGAAGTGTAAAGAAAATGAGGGTTGGCTTCCTAAAGGTGGCCAGATGTGTCTCCTGTTCTGCTGGGCGCTAGCTAACGCTAGCCTGCTAGCAACATCCACTGACGTCAAGACAGACATTTCACTGTAGCGATTCGACATGAAATGGGTTAGAATGAAGTATTAATTTCTAGTTCCTCTCAGAGGTTTTTCCGCAGCACAAACCTCGTTTATTGTTTCTGCTTCGTGTTTTCGAAAGCGACGTTCGCGACTGACGGATCACAAGTACAAGATGTTAATTGAAAGCTCAGCTGTCAGTCACGCCTGGCTTCCCAAACTGCCTGCGGACAGCTATGCATTTATCATTTACTAAATGACAAATCTCATTCTGGAGACCTGACATCTTATTTTGCCTGCATTGCTGCGTTTCTGGATTTACGCTGAATGTAAAATGTGGACGTAAGGTTTGAGCAGTTATTCATTGCTGTGGTTTAGGAGAGCTGAACTGCAGCCAACAGCAGCGCTCCACCCAACTGATCGGGTTAGTTCATCTGCAGAGTTCAGGGCTTTTATAGCCACCCAGAAGATTTCACTGAGTGTAGGCAAAATGCCAGGGGCGCACCCACAGGGTTTTGGAAAGGGCGCCAGATGTTGTTGGGACACCAAAACCAACAGACTTAACAAAAGTTCTATTAGTCATGTTCCTAATATATTGTTACTGTAATGTATTGTGCAGCCCTTACCGAGTATCTCTGCTAAAAATCAGCTAAATTGAAATGTTAGCATATGGACTTTTTTAGCTGCTGCCAATGTGTCCATAATTTTTAACAACCCTTAGTCTTTAGCTTATGTATTGTTTTAAAATGGGAGTGAAGCTCTTGCAAATGACAAAACCTGTGACATGATTATGTTTTTAAAGTTTAGCTAACTTTCCTCATTTTGAAAATATTTCAATGTAACTCATCAGACTTTGTTTTTTTCTCTCCTAATTTCATGTTTTTCTGTTTCTCTTGGTGGCAAAGCCTCTCCACCAAGTTAATGTTATTTTAGTTTTAAGATCAGATTGGGATATTTATCCTCTTTTACCTTCGTGTTTGTCCAGTTGACTGAAAGCCACTGTCTGCCTGTGTCCTCTTGTGTCGTGTATTATTCATGGCCCCCTGTGGGGTGAGGACACTGATTATAAAGAAGAGCCGATGGATGTTTGGAGAGAGGGATGTCTCTGTGGGAGAGGATCGTTTGACGATCAGATCCTGCATAACAGAGAAACTCGTAAAACGGGTCAGAATAGCATCTGTGATTGTGATCTTGAGGTTGCTGGAGCGTGAAACTTAAATGTCAGAGATGTTTGTCTCGGTGTCTGTTGGCTCATTCGCAGACTGGAGCCATGTTAAGTTTGTCCGTTTCTTTTAAAAGGTGAGGAAAAGCAAACGGTCGTTTCATTCAGAGGGTGTCGCCTGTTGTTAAAGTATAATCTGCTTATGAAACATAGGTGGTCACAGCGTGTTATGTGCGCTCACCTCCTTGCAGAGGGAATAAGCTGCAGAAAACTGGGACAGCTTTGTTCCTCTGAGATCGGCTGTAATTAACCTGGATCTGCATGTTGGGTGAGATTTTGGATTGTTTTCACATTGAGCCTCCTCCTAAACTTGATTTTAATTTGTCTTTATCTTTTTTTATGTCATTAAGGGAATTTCCAATACTTTTGCCACCTAAAAGTTGATTTTTAAGAGATGACCTAACCAGTTCCAATCTGACGTCTGGGTTCAGACCAGTTGTTGAATGGCAGCTCTAGGAGTTGGTGAAAGCTTGAAGTGGTTAAACTGGTTGTGTCAGTCTTGACTGTTGCTGAGTCAACAGTAAACAGAAGCAAGGCAGTAAAAGTGAAGAGAAAAACTGCTATTGCGTAATACTGATTTGCGCTTTACGTTGATTTTCCGGTCTGTTTGCCTGCCTGCTTTTGTTCCAATTCAATTCAGTTCAATTAAAAATACTTTATTGATCACAAAAGGAAATTAAATGTTGTCATTCATATTAAGTCAAATTCTTTATTTATTGTTGTTGATGATGATGATAATGATGGCTGTTGGTAGCACAGATCTCCTGTAGCAGTCTGTGTTACAGTAAATATGAAGAAGCCTCTGACTGAAGACACTGTTTTTCTAAGATGGTCACCTGAAGTAGATGTCCATAATTTTCTTGATTTTGTGTAATCCAGGTTTATTTATTCCAGATTTTCAACTAAGGAACATTTCCCATAGTTTCCAGAATTGTGTTGTTGTCCAGAAAAGTCAGAATGTAAATAATTTTCAATTTCTGGATGAATTTGAAGATAAAGAAAATTTTTTAATGAAAGTATAGTTTAGCCTGATTCATTTTTCCATTATCTATATATAAAGTGTGATTTTAGATTTGATCCTTTTAAAATCATGTTCTTTATTGGTATTGGTAAGTTAATCATAATGTTCCCTAAAATGTGAATTAAATATTTTCTACACTGATGAATTGAATTGAATTAAACTTGAGAAAAATGTTTTATAATTTAATGTCCAGTAAATGTAAAAACTGAAAGAACATTTAGCAATCAGAGTTTGGCAAAAATATGGAGAACAGAAAAAAGGACCTTAAACTTGATTACACTGCAAAAAAAATCTTACCACACTTGAAATAAGACAAAACTAACTTACAGTTTTTCAGCTGGAAATGTGAATTTGTTTTAAGTAAATAATTCCTTAATATTGATGAAAAAGCACTAGTTTCACTGCCAGGTTATTTCACTTACTGCTAGCACTTTTAAAAAAATAAATATTAGGGAATTATTTACTTAAAATAAGCTCTTAGAAATTGGTGAAGTTACTTGTAAGTTAATTTGTCTTATTTAAAGTGAACTGAGATATTTGTACTGGAAATTAGACAAAAATACTTGGTAAGATTTTGTTTCCAAAAATCTTGCAGTGTGTGATTCATCTGAGCATGTAATTGTTTTCTTATGCTGCAGAGTATGTTTGTGTTTGACAGTAAAAACATCTTTACCAGTTAAAAGTTATAATCAGCTGGAAGAAAGCTGCAGTCATGCAGGTTTAAGACAAAAGAAAAGAGTTGGACTGTAACTTCATGTTGATCATTTTTTCTGGCTCTAAGGTTCATTTGACTGCTTGGGATTGATGCAACTCTTGTTTCACATGCTGTTTTCCCTCTTTCCAATCTAAATAGACTCAAAGCCTGTCGGCCATGTTTAAGCTTTGTCTGCAGTCAGGTTGTTTAGTTTTGTTTTTGTCGTCTCTGCAGGCCTGAAGAGAGGCTTCCCTGACTGCGCTGGTCCTCACTGCAGAAGCCAATGGATCATGGTGGTTACTTTTCACGTTTCCTTACAAGATATATGGTTGAATAAAAGCTCAGAACCATTGTGGAGTAGTAATTATATGTGATTTAGAGAGAAAATAGCAGCTGAGAACAGGGGAGGTTGTTTTGGCAGCATTTTAGCGATGGTGTGGTTGCTGTTGTCTCAAGTTGCAACGGATAGTCTTTAAATAATGTACAAAGGAAAATGAGTCCCTCTCTTTCTGTCAAATCAGACTTCTTTCTTCTTTAAAAGCATTTATATTATTTTCTGTACCCGGCTGATTCAATCTTTTTTATGCCCAGGTCTGTTTGAGATGGAGGGCAACACAATGTCACCGATTCACTTTGACGGCTTCAATCTCTGTGACAACTTGTCAAACTCGGAGGCCCTCACTGCCCAAACGCAAAACCTCAATGAGACGCTTGCAAAAACGCTTCCTGTTCCCCAAAACGATGAGGGAGGAACATGCAGCCTCGTCCAGAAACCCTCTCTGGACAACAATGAGGAGGAGGAGGAAGCAGGGATAGGGGGATACTCACTAGGAAGCAGAGACGTGAATGAGGAGGAAGATGTGGATGAAGTGATGAAGGAAGAAGAGGAAGAGGAGGAGGAATCTGAGGCGTCAAGTTCTTTGATATGCTGCCAATCTCCAGACAATCTCATGACTGATTCCTCTTATTCGGAGACAGGTGCTGCTCAGACATCCATGCTGATCGTTGTTTTGAATCTCTCCAGGTCTTTTTAGTTTTTTAAATAACAATGATCAACAGCCAAAAATTTTCTGGGGCTTTTCAATTTACATAAATCCAAGTTTGTAAGATTTAATTGATACACTCCAGGGTTTCCCACAGTGTATTTCAAGCCTGGCAGGCCACCAGGCTTTACTTTTTTCCCCACCAGGCTTAACATTGTTTATTTATTTATTTAATTTTTTAAAGTATTACCTTTGTTTATAGTTGGTGTTTAAGTATTAATCTACCAATAGCGCACATCTATCAAGTGATAATCTCAAAGTTCCTGTTAATTTTAAACACTTTTAAACTCAAAAACACTGCTGGATGACTGCCCTACTGCCACAAGCATCAGGCTTAGAAGGTTTTCTGGGGGAAATCCTGCACTCTGTTAGAAAACAAATTTAAAACATTAATGGAAACAAACTGACAATGTCACAAAAATGTAATCAATTTAGTCAAAAGATTGGATTTCTATAAATCAAATTAGAATAAAATCTGACCAGAATGAGAAAAAAAAAATGTTATTTTTGGATTCAGCAGTGCAAAATAGTCCTAATTCAGTTGGAAAAAAACACAGACAGCTTCCAAAAAATATTTTTTGTGACTTGGTGTAATCTTTACAAACAAGCTAATATTCACACAAGTAGAAAACATAAACCAGCATGTGGGTAATAAATTATAAAATGGGAAGCAGCAGGTTGAAAGCGTAAGAAAAATGTTTTGCAGAAATGACTTTGAAATCGAGTAAAGAAAAATAAAACCTGAAACATTACTTCAGCTTTGAACATGCAGGATTCTTTCTGCGTTCCCTCATGCTATCTGACACTCCCACATATCTGTGAGCTCTGCACATTTACACATTCTGGGACGCAGTGCCAATCACTCACCAGAGCAAAGCCATCATAACCCAGTGAGTTTTTGTGTTTTTACATTAAAGAACTCACCAGTATTAGCTTCACCAGGGCATCAGTCACATTTGGATAAAACTGGTTTAAGAATAAATTAGGGTGAGCTTCATTAACTTTTGACAAAATAGCTTAATAGTAATATTTTTCAATATTATATTGAATAATTTATTAAATATATTAAACTACTAACATAATAATTAACATCTAAATTATGCTGAATGCATTGCAGTTTTTATTTCAATATTTAAAGTACATTAAATCAAGAAATCTACTGATAAAATGTACTTGTACAATTAAAATATTAACATGTATTAACAATAGTTCAGAAGTTGTTTTATAATACTATTTTAAAGTATCTGTCACCATTCAGTACTTCATAAAATGTGCTTTTTTTGAAGGTGCAACTTGGACAGTTTTCTTGCAGCAAGCAGGTTGAGGGTTCAAATCTCAACCCATGTTCTTTCTGCATGTCATGTGGCGTGTTTCATAATCTATAATACATACAACACAGAGAAACCAACCGAGAATGCACAATATAAAGTTGTGTTAATCTACTTATTATTGTCTAAATTGAGAAGTTGACAGCTTATTCTGTTGAGGAAGGTGCAGAAGTTCTTTGGACTCTATTACATGTGGTTCAGTGCACAATATCAAGCCCTGCCTTCAATCACACATCCCAGATGATCTGCACTCAACAAGCGATAGATAAGAGGCAGAATATGTTAAGCAAAAACTAAAAGCAGGAGATGTTACATTGTTTACTCAAATTATGGTCTAAAAACAAAAGCAGTCAAATCTTGTTTTAAATAATATGTCAGGTTTACTTCTAGCTCAAGGATATAATTAAAGTTAATTGGTTGGGTTTAAACTTCAAAAATAGTACAGAAAATGTATGAAACCTGTAGTACTGACATCCTCCAGCAGAGGGCAGAAAACATGAACCACTTTAAAGATTCAATATTTGTTGCCTTTGTAATGTTTTTGTTGCATTTAGTTGTTGTATTCTCTCTACTTCCTGCTTCCATGTTACGCTCGAGTTTATTGTATCTGTGTGTTTTCTGTGGTGACGTCTAACTGTGTTTTGCTCTGCAGGCAGTCTGTTGGAAACTCCATTTCTCTTCAGCCCCGGGAACAGTCCAGAACCTGCATCCCCCGTCATCCCAGTCATCAGTCCAGAAACTTTACATCCCATTAATTCACTGGAACTGAGTCAAAGCAGAGAGGAAGTCATTTCCAGTTCCACCAGCTCTGGGTTGGTCTCAGCCGCAGTGGAGTCGGCCATCTGCAGTCAAGCGGCTACATTTACCACAAAGACAGTGGGTTTAACCTCAGACACTCAGCTTGATGGCTCTTCTGGGACCAGATGCAACACAGTCGCCTCTGATGCAACATTAAAACACTCCTGTCCAGAACAGCTTACCTCTTCCAAGGATCCGGTCTCCAACTGTGGGCCTGCTTTGACTGGAGTGACCAGCAGCTCAAATGCTGGATCGGTCACCAACAGGGAACCCTCTGCCTTCACTACAGGAAGTCATACCACAGCCATGTCCTTAAATCAGGAACAGTTTACCTCCAGTCCAGCCGCTGATTATTCTTCAGTCTTGACCTCGTCAACAGGGTCTGCTTTAAGCCCAACTCTCCTGGCGTCTCTGGAACAGATGGCAGAAAGAGATGATGATGCCCACCTTCCTCAGTACCTTCACCAGGTAATCCTTCATCTTTTGTCTACTCTATGTTAAATGGGACCTATTTTGCAAAATTCATATGTAGCAAGTTTTTAGTGCCTCCATTTGCACCTCAGATACATCTGAGAAACAGCCCAAACGCATAAAAAACACCCAGACATTTTTTTGGCAATATGTTGATGTTTTTTGGTGTCTGGAAAATGGGACGTTTTGAAAACCTCCAGATTGGTAAGTCACATTCGATGGGCACTGCGCCATTACCTAGGCCAGCCTCGTTGCCTAGCAGCTTAAGCTGAGCTCCAGCATGTTTGGTCAGCTGGTTTTACTGCTGCATGCCTGGTACAAATGCTCCTGGAAAAGACAAATGTTTTGTTGTGAACTTCCCATCCTGAAGTTCGCTGCATTCTTTTTGGTTGAGCAGGAGGCTTCACTTCTGCTTTTCAAAGATGTGTGGTTGTATAAATACACAACTGTTTGCAACTATTTTTTTTTGAGTGTAAACGTTGAGTTTTGGGGCGTGGCCAGCAGCTGCTTGTTTGTATTTAAAGTGACAGAGGCCCTAAAATAAAATCCTTCTAAAAGGACCTCAAAATAGGCAGAACTGAGCAGACTGAAATCTCACTATCTAAGAATAATTTTGTACGAAAAATGTAATGAGCATGTTTTGCAAAGCCTGTGGATCTCTAGTCACTTGTTTGAAGGAAGCATATTAGGTGGGCATTAGGCTGAACTGGGCATTTCCACCAAGCCTGATGGGCATTTCCCATTTAAAGGCGTCTTTCCAGTGTGTTATGCTGGCTCTCTGCCAGCCTCGTCTATTCAAAGCGATGCTTTCACACGAGCATTTAAAGGGCTGCTAATCTTCCAGTCGACCTCAGGATGGCACTTTGCACCCAGGGGCCAGGGTGTTTCTGCTGGCATGTTCAGGAGCCAGATGCACACTTCATTAAAACTCGGTGCTCACCCTCAGGTCCTCTGTGTTAGTTTCACTCTCGCTCGCGGAGCTGCATGACTGAACTCGTAGGTTCTGAGGCAGGTTAATGATTGTCAGTTTGACAGCGAACACCTGACCTGCCCTGGCTTCCAGATTAAATAAGAGCACAATGGAGGAAGACACCTGACAAGAAGGCAGCACAACCTTTGGGTTGAGCTTGTTGTCACATCCTGGCTGTGACATCATTTGATCACTGAGAATTCAAAAAAAGTTTAATTAATGCTTTTTGTTTCTGAAGGATGTAAAATTCCACTCTGATTGACATTCGTACTATTTGTGCATGCTGTTATTTCATTTTAATTCTGCAACTAATCAGTTGATACACAATATTTGGATTATTCTGAACCAACTTAAACAGTTATCAAGTCAAGTTTTAGATCTGCATCATGATATAACAACAAACACACAATAATTGAAACTTTAAAATAAACTGGCTGTAAAGATTCTCGCTTTTAACTGGAATTGCATGTGTGCATCATCCCATAAACTATAAAAAGTTTTGATTTTACTGCTGTCATAAAACTCAAACTGTGGGATTTAGAAGCAGAAGTTCATTATTGTGGCATGAACTAAATTTAAATGCTTTAAAAAACTTATCAGGCAGAACAGAAAGCAGCCTGAAGCAGTTTCTAATCCCAGTAGGCTACCTAGAAAGCCAAGCAGTCGTCACCACCCTCACTTCATTTGACATGCGAGAGCCTTATGCTTCCTCCTCCTCCTCCTCGCTCTCACACACGCTGCTCTTGTTCTGAGATCAGCTGGGTGACATGAACGCCACGCTCGCTGAAAAGAGGTACAGGGTATTACACAGTCTCTCGTTTTCCTCTGTAATTATTCATCCGTCTTACTTACAATTCAGTCTCTGGAAAACAAAATAACGCTGTTCCTGCTACATTACGATTTTTATTTCTTAGAAGTTAGAAGTTGGCTCAGTTTTCTGCTGGGCTCTTATCATAACTGCCTTTTGTTTCTCTGTCTTTACTTCTTGACGTATCTTCTTGTTCCATATTGATGACCTTTTGTCAAAACGTGTTCTGGTCTCTGTGACGGCTGATCAGATAAAAGCATTTTTAAACTCTGTCCTCTCTTTCCCTTCAGATTGCAGAGACCTTCGTCCTTCAGAAAGACTGTATCCTCATTATGTGTACATGATTTTGTTTTAGTGTATTCATTTAAGTATTTTAGTATTATTATAGCAGAATAATAATTTTGTTGCCATTTATTGGAAGTTATGGGTAAATATGTCACAAAAAGCGATAAATCAATTAATTGCATGATAAATTGGGCAACAGTCTATAAAGACATGCTTTCTTTTAACATTGTTGAATAGCCACCATTTTTGAGAAATGCTGCACACCTGCCACTTTTACCTGTTTTCCCTGTGTAAGCTCAATGACTATTAAGACACAGTTTTAGTTACTGTGATTTAATGATCAGTTTTAATTATTTTTCATTTGGTTTCTTTGTTTATTTTGGATATGTAAAAGTTTTCCAGTTCTATTGCTAAATATTCTTTAGAAATTATTTTTATTTATCTTTGACTGGCCATATTTGCATTAAAAAGCTATTTTTATTATACGAGTTGAAAGTGGTTTCAAAATGACAATATGATCATTTATCTCAGTAATTTATCGTTCGTCTCTATAAAGCCTAATTGTACCATATGCACGATGCTCGAAGGCGAACAAAGAATAACATTTAATGACAGGAAAGAATGATGAAGAGAGAAGTGTAATCAAAGCGTTTACAGTAATCAGAGTGAAAGCCAGTGGGTGTGAACACATGAATGCATGAGAGAAAAGCTTCTGCAAGCGTAGCTACAATGAATCTGTAGAGCGTAAGATAGTGAGGAAAAGCATCGAGCTGTGTCAAAGAAGGCTTGTGTTTTGGCTGCTCATATCCATAAACATGAGACTTCAGGCCTCCGTCCTCTCATGGATCTGTTCTCCCGCCTTTGTGTTTCTTCTTCCTCTCCCCCGGTCATCCCGCCGTACGACTTAAAACTACTCTGCAGCTTTCCATTTAGTTATATGTTGGAAACAGCTAGCTTAGAAACTGGTGCATTGATCAAATAACCGACTTCATCTGATTTCACACACGAGTTTTACCGATAAGTCATAAACTGTGTTAACATTGTTTACACAGAAAAACCCTTAAAAGATGCTAACCAGTTTTCTCCACACATGCTAGGCTACATGATGGTGGGGCGTTGTTTCCATTGTAACCAATGGTTAGACACGTACCTTTTCCATAATGCTATATTTCATATCTCTCTAATCATACTTACTTATAAGGTTTATGAACGTTAATCTTCTTGCCTTGTAAAAAGTGTTTTCTGCAAATCCGTGGTTGTTAAATCGAGGGCCGACAGTCACTGTGATTGACAGCTGCTGTCCGGCGCCGTCATATTTCCTCATTGTAATGAAATGACAAGTTTGATTTCTATCCTTGTCTCCGTGCAGCCGACCTCGCAGCATCCTATGACCATTTCTAATGTGAAATCAACTAAATCAAAGCGATATTATGCCTGTTTTTCGACAGGCTTTACAGGAGTGCATAGGTTGTTTTGACGTCCATCATGGCGGAGCGGGTGGAGTTCAGGAGATCGTGACGGCACGCGCGCAGGATCAATATTCCCTGTATAATTTGTTAACGTCGGGCAGCTCTAGTTTCTCCTGAATTCGGCACCCCTTAAGGTTATCTTGTTCGTGTTGTTGGTGTTCAGGAGTTTAGCAAAATGCATGTACCATCTACATGGAAAAAAATTAAACAATTAGAAAAGAGATCAAAGATTTATGTCAGGTTTTTTATCATGGAAGGATGTAGCAGGTCATTCTGTTTTGGTTCATGTGTGTTTAATTCTTGACTTTAGCTTCTCAGACCAGCGAGCGTTGTTGTTTATCCAGCTAGAGCAGCTTTACCACCAGAGAGTGTTGGAAAACCTGAACGCACTTCAACAGCAGTGGGGTAACACACAGCACTCTTCTCTCATGCGTATAACCCAGCATCATTTTCAAAGTACATTATTAACATCTTCAGTGTTGACTTACTACAAATCTCTTACCATGTGTTCAAATCTGGAATGTCACGCGTTCATTTGAACTCTTTCCATCGCAGTGAGTCACTGTGGAGGAGCGTCCCCTGAGCTGGCAGCCACACACCTGGACTCTCTGAAACACATCTGCCAGACACACTCCAGGTAAGCCTGCATGTCTTTATGGATTCATCAGATGAAATGTTGAGGCAGGCTCTCCAAAGTGCAAGAAATTTGGCCTGCCAGCAAAAGCAGTTGATACAGATCAATTTTTTTAGTGATTCACATAAAAAAAATAAATGTCCTTAAAGTTTGGGTAAACATGAAGTTTTTCTCTTCTTTTTATAAGACATGTACTTTTTGTCTTTGAACTTATTTGTTTATAGAGTATAACCATTAACATAAAGCAGCTTTACTTTAACTTTACTGGGTAAAGTCCATATTTTTAAGAAAATATAGACCTTATTCTGAGCTTTTAATAAGAATTAGCAAAAAAATTCTAGTCTAAGAAAAGGAAATCATATGCATTTCTTTTTCTAAGACTCTTTTATGTTTCATTTCTACAGTTGTTTACAGATTATTCTGTATAAAAATATCAGTACATTGTTTCTATAAAATATTGTTGGCTGCAAATCACATACAAATAAAAACAAAAAAAATACTTTTTCTTTTCTTAGTTTTTTTTTACTGCAAACACTTTCAGTTTTATAATTTTGGACACCTCAGATTAATATATTCTCTGATAACACTGTAAAGTTTGCAGAATGAGCAGAAGATGTATTGAAGAGTTTTGTGAAATGGGAAATTATATTATCATGCCACGTGTAATTTATTTTTGACCTTTGAAATATCAAAATTTTTATTTAACTTTATATTTTGGTCTGATGATGTAATTTTTAAATGATAGGTAATTTGATCAGTTACTCAGTACTTTTTACCAAATACTTTTTTACTCATATTTGAGTAATTTCCTGGATGTCTACTTTTTACTTTCACTTGAGTAAAAATATATAAAAATAGTTCTAGTCTTATCTAAGTAAATTTTTTGGGTATCACAGCTGTGTGCTGTATAAACTCTGTGATGTGAGTCTATTTGAGTGACATAAACACAAAAATGTGATGAGTAATGAAGTGATTGGTAAACCATATGTCCCTTGGCCTCTGCTGCTGCTGCACTTTCAGACACTTGAGCCACTGCACTGCTAAGGTTACACACACACGCACACACACACACACACACACACACACACACACACACACACACACACACACACACGCACAGACTGAGTCGTGTTTCCTTGCCTTCAGAGGACATTTCTTTAACTTCTGCTCTTTTTCTAGACACTATGATCCAAACTCTCCCTCCAGTATATTGTTACATGAGGTTCAAACTGTTTTCAGTAGTTTAAATAAACTTTTTTTACTCCATGATGTGACTGTGAGCCCCAGACCTCCCATCATATTTTAGAAACACACACACACAGCCAGCACACACTCACACGCACACAGGTTTTATTAGCCAGGGAAATGTGTTCAGGCTAATATTAGATTGGGAGTGCAGAGACGGGTCTCTGCGTCTTCTTTCACTAAAACCAAGTCGGACGTTCTGTCCGCTCATCCCTCTGATTCTCTCTCTCCTGTTTACAGGCCCAGGACACGAGATGCTGAGGTGAGACATTTTCAGTTTGCATCGTTTCTGTCTCTTGATCTGTTTCACAAAGTTACACTTCTCTGTTGACCACCTCACAAATTACTAATATTTATGAATTTTTTATCTACTTTTCTTTGTTTTGTCGGAAACTCTAAAGTCAAATGTATTTAGATGTTTTAATATAACTTAACAAATATGTGAATATGTGTTCAGGTTGCTCTTTTGAACAATTTGAGCCTTCAGTTTGGCGGAGGGGTTTCCCGCCCTTCATGTATCTCAGGTAAGTGCGGACATTTTAAGAATCGTGTCATTTGTATATTTAATTCTTTGTAGTTTTTTTTTTTTTTTTTTTTATTAGCATAAGATGTTCATACATCTTGGAGTTTGTCACATTTTGTGAGAAGTGAAAACTATAAATGTATTTCATGTGAAATACATGGTGCATCATCATGAATCATAAAATAAATCACATTGATACAATCACAATGTCAACCATTTGTGCAGAGAATAATTCACTATTCACACTAATAGTAGTTACTGCACTGGGAATAAATCACTTCTAATAGATTTATTTCGCTGCCAGAGTGAAGCTGCAACAGCTTCCTGAGGTCAGAGGCTCAAACTGATGGAAAAGAGGACGGAGGATATTTGTTCAAATGTTCCTTTCTGTCGTTCAAATTCTTTTAGCAAACAGTTTAGACGGAGATATTTGTGGTAGCCCTCTACTTTACCTGCCACACTGTAAAACGTTTGAGCCACGTTTGGTTGTGTTTACCATCTTCTGCTCTTTACGTCAAATAAATTTAGCGAGTTTTATGTTTGTGCATATTGTAAAATAATTGTTTGGTTTAAATTGCAGCATTAATTTCAAACTCACAGTTCAATATTAATGATCTTAAAAAAACATGTTTAGACAACTTGTCTGTTGTCGTTAAATCAACTTCAATTTCTGAGTCATAACCAAAATGTTTTCAGCAGGTGGGCTTTCATTTTCAAGTTAAACCACCAAATCAAATGTTTTACAGTGCGCAACATTTAACTGTGTATCAGCTGAGCTCATTATAGGAGCAGCTTCTCAGTTAAGATGGTTAAAACGTTGTGAAAGGTTCAACAAAAGAGCCATGTTGTGACGACTTCCTGAAGGCAGAGTTTCAGAAAGAGCAGAAGTTCTTGAAGAGGCAGTGACCAAATTTCAAATATGAAGTCAAATTTCTTTTTGTTTTATTTGATATTAAGAGCAATTTTGCAACAACTGAATGTAACGTAGCTACTTAATTCTGCTATAATATGCCTGTAAAATACATAATACTGCCTCTTTAAAACTTTGTTTTTCAGTCTACAGGTGAGGTGATCATACCAGGCTAGTGGCCTATTCCAAGACCACTAGGTTTCCGTAACAAATAGGAGACTTGCTCTGTTCTGTTTAAATATTTTTTTACTGTATTGAAGAGTTTTTTATTTCTTCTTTTTTTCCACTTTACTAAGAAAAAAAAAGAATACCAGATATTTAAACAGGATTAATATTTAGATTGTTTCACTCTTTGTGAACAGATGAAATGCATTTTCTTCATGTTGTTTGGGGAAAAAAAACAGATTTTCAGTGTACAGACATTAAATATAAATAAATAAAGTTTAGAGGAGAACACTATGTTTACAGATAGTTACACAGAATTTTCTTGTTGGAATATGAACATATGCTTTTAAATGATCTTAAGTACAATATTATTTGCTTGCAGTTTGCATGTCAGCATTTATACATGGATAACTTCCTTTCCTGTTTCTTCCTGCAGCCCATCAGGCTAAAGGAGGGATGGAGCAGAGAGACGAGGATTCATCCTGTCCTCTTGCGCTTTCTGACAATTTGATTAAAAGGCTCAGTCCACCTGAAACAAAGCGGAAACCCCCGAATGGAAACTCACAGAGGACGTCTTATGGTTCCGATCAGACTCGAAGGCAAGCTGAAGACAGAGAGGTAGAGGGAGGGGTAGAGCGCGCCGCTTCAGCTCGGGGAAACGGGCCGCACCCCTCCGCGGCTGGGGGAATGGATCGCTCCAGCTCCGCAGAGCAGCAGGAGGAGGATTTAGGTCTGGTTCGGGAAGCAGAGGCGAAGGAGGAGGAAGAGGAGGAGGATGGCAGTGAGGTGGAGGAGGCAGCAGAGGCTCTGGAGATGGAAGACGAGGGGACGGAGGACGACGGCGAGAACAAGCAGAGCGAGCCGGACGCTCATTTGAGTCAGGAACCTCCCAAAGTGGAGACTCTGGTCAGTGGGGCAGAGCTGCAGCTGCACAGCGAGAAGCTACACCTTCACCAGTACACTCAGGTATATCATTTACTCTTCCATGTGTGGTCACGAAACAAACTAAAGTTAATGGACTTTTCAGTTTATTATGCGGTTAGGATGTGCATCCCTGCTGTGTAGATCGTGTCTGTATTTTATGCACACCCTAAATGATTTATGCTGCTGCTAGCAACCATTTCTCCTAAAACAAGATGAATCACTGAGGCATTTTTATTGACGTTGCTACAGACTAATCACTGTTTTAGAAACCTTTCAGTAAAACACTGTAATAATGTCAGTAATAAAATATTTTCACTGTTAAAACTACTCAGTTAAAGTAAACAATAGGCCTCAGCCTTTTTTTATTTTCAAATTTTTTTATTTAGACAAATTGTCATCGCATTCATTAATCACAGTAGGGCTGTTGTAAACGATTATTTTAGTATTATATTGATTATTCTCACAATTAAATGAGAAATCAAATAAAAATTGATCAAATAAAATCAATTTACTCGACCATAACTAATATTACTATCGGATATCAACATCTTCCTTCATTTTTTACATTTCAACATCCCTAACAATGTCTTTTCTGTAGTTTAGAAAACTAACCAGTATCAATAACAGCTCACTTTTCAAATTAACCTGGACAAAAATTATACAAAATTTGAAATTATATTCAATTTAATCACAAAGACATTTGTAAAATGTTATGCTGCTAACACCTAGATTTCATCAACAACCCATAAGCTGGAGAGAGAGCGCTGCGCAACACAAATAATCACCCAGCGATTCATTAATAATAAAACGTAATGTAACAAAGAGGCAGATAATTTGCCTCGAGGAATCGTTTCATCCCTAAATCACAGCTTTAGTTGGGGTTTTTTTCAACTTGGAGGAAAAAAGAAATGTTTTCCATAACAAAAATCTGATAGACAATAGTAGGTGGTTTTAATCTTTTCCTTAATGGCTGCCAATCATATAGACAGCATGTTTTTATCTTTATTTCATGTGTCAAACAGTAAATACAAAGTTTCACATTTGAATGTTTACATTAAATATATGTTCAATATGTTTGTGAAACTCTTCGCAATCTAATGTTATTACCTCAATTACCTTTATTTAAGTTAGCAAACATCTGCAGCTAAAAAACACAGATATCATCAACAATGTGACCAGCTCAGCTCTTTCTGATAAACCTAACATCAGAATGTAGAGCTGATCTGTTGGTTGGTTTCTGAATTAATCAATTAATAATTAGATTAACAAAACGCGCCTATTAGGAGATTTTCTTTGTTTTTACTACAAAGTCAAACTAGATAGAACAAATTTACGTGTTTTTTTTTTTTATCTTAAATGCAAAATGTATGTTTTTTTGTACAATTATGGCTTAATTATTACTGCTCTTATTACGTTGCTCATTTAACAATTTACTTTTTTGAGTCTGAATACTCAAGTACTAGCTGACAATTATTTCAATAATCGATTCATTTGATTAATCGTTTCAGCCCTAATAATCAGGTAGAGTTAAAAAATATCTGAATAAAATGGTGCAACGTAGAAAAGCTGTAAGTTTCCGTGATGAATGCAGGAGAACTCTGAGAGCTGCCTGAGCGAGGAGGTGCTCCCTCCCCAGGAGGCCGAGTTGGAGCAGCAAGAACAATATCAAGAAGAGAGGGAGGAAGAGGAGGACTACGACTTCATCAGGAGAGCTTCTTCCTTAGACGAAATGGCGAAGCTCATCACGGTGGAGGAGGTGACTGTTTTTCTGTCATGTTTTTTTTTTATTTTATTTTGTATGATTCTCTCAAAACATAGCAGAAGATTGAGAATTATGCTTTAAAGATTCTTCCTGGGTCTGTCCCTCCTCCTGTGAAAGACACGCCTTCTTTAGAGGGGAACCTGTCGCACAAAATTCACGTTCTGCACGTTTTTGTCGCTCCATTTGGACCTTCTGAAAACAGCCCCAGGGCTGAAGAAAAAACCCATCCAGCTGGTTTTGGAAAAAAGCTGGTGTTTCTTTTTTGGTGTCTGGAAAATTAGATGTTTCAAAACCTTCTGAATGAAACATCACAAATCAGCAGACGCTAGTGAAGTCCAGCGTGTTGCCTAGCAGCCCAAGCATAGCTCCATCTTGTTTGGTCAGCTGGTTTTACCGCTGCACGCGCTGTGCAATGACCGCTAGAAAAATGTGTTTTGTGGTTCAGAAACCACTTACTGCATTCTTGTTGGTTGTGCAGATGGCTCCACTTCTGGTTTTCAAAGATGTTCGGCTGTAGAATCTAGTAGCTCATTACTTTGATTTTTGCGCAAAAAATATAATAAACATGGTTTCATTGCCCATAGACCTAAACTAACCTTTTCAAGGAAACATAATAATCACATTTAGATTATTCCAGATTTTCTGACTCTAATCTAATATGTGTTTTAGATGTAAAGCAGTTAGATTAACGTTTTCAGACAGCTTTTTAATTTGAAGAGACCACTCTTAGAGGGCAGGACTAAACTGTGTCTTTTTAAAACATTTTATTTTGTCTTTTTTTACTGTTTTAGTTCAAGATTTGATATCTCAGGTTCTCACCGCTCTAAACGGTTTGAAAATGGTTTTAAATTGCTGACTGATGTCATTATCACATAATATGAACCACAGTGGGACTGACTGAGATGCTCTGGTGTGATCAGGTCAAAGTTCATATGTTGTCAAAGTCCACTTTCTTGTGAACCATAAGTTGTTTCACAGGGAAGTTGGTCCGGTTCATAAAGAGGTCCATATTCCAGAACCTGGCTGTGTGATGCAGAGTTTTTTTAATTATCAAGTTTTGAGCAGTTGGGATCCTTTCTGTTCTTTTGTTGTCTTATCTTTTTGTCCGTTGCGGTGCGTCTCAGATGTCCCCGGCCGCTGGACTTGTCTCCATCTTGAAGAAGCAAAGTGTGTATGTGGACAGCCTGACTACGTCTGCCGAACCAGAACCCACACCGGAGAAACCCACCGCCAAGAGACGCGTCCGCTTCAAAGTTCCCGATGATACCTACGACCACGGTACGTTACTCGACTTATTTCCTTAAAATCACTGATGAAGGAAAACAACATTGTGAAAGTATCATTAAGTGGAAGCAGATGTTACTTTGGTATTCTGCAAAATCAACAAATGCCTGCTTTTTTGTGATGATGTAAAACTGCTTTTAGGCAAAAATGTTTAATAATGTTGGGTTTAAGTGACTAACTCCCACCTGCAGGTGGCAGTACTTCTTCCGTTTGCATCACTGCTGCCTCTTCCTTACTTGAAGTCAAGTTAAAGTCCGTGATTGATGTAGAGAGTATGAAAAAGTCACTTTTAACAATGCACATAAGTCCAGATATTTTTAAATCTGCTATTTTCATTTCCAAAAATCATAAAAACAATCACAAAATTCTGGAACTGATCAATGTATAAAGATGTTCCATATTATTTAATTTTACAAATAAGTTATTGAATTCAGGGGCAGCTATTTATCAATATTTTAACAGTTTAATGGGTTTTATTAGACCTGTTTTCCCAGAAGTTATTGCGGTAAACAATAATGTTGTTATTTTGAGACAATTTTCAGGTAAAACGTTCTTAAAGATCAATAAACTACAGAGTCTGATTAACATTATTCACTGGAGCAAGAAGACATTTTAAATATCCAAAATAACGAAACTAAAACCTTCATACCTTTGAGACCAAAACACCAGAGTTTCATCATCTGCTTTTGGTAGAAAGAGAGAAAACAGAAAAATTAATGAATTTGTTTTCATTTATCATGCAAGTAATTGATTTATTGCTTAAGTTTTATCAATTATTGCTGACATACGATAGTTTGACCCCTCAGCTGCAGAGTGATGCAGCCTCTCTCTGCGTGTGATTTCACTTTACTGTTTGTTTCCTGTGTAGAAGTTGGCGGTGGAGACTCCTGTCTGCTGCTCTTCCTCCTCTGTCTGGTTACCGTCGTCATCAGTGTTGGCGGCACCGCCCTCTACTGCGCTCTGGGGGACGCCCAGTCCTCCGTCTGCCAGGACTTCTCCAGAAACGCAGACTTTTACTTCGGCCAGATCCGTCGGGGGATAACCCGGCTGCAGCACTGGTATTCCTCGGGGTTGTAGCAGAAATCCTCTGGTGGGTGTTGAGCTAACGTTCCTCGTGAAGAGTTTACTGCCATTTATTGAGTGGCTAGTCGTCTCCTTCGGATGCATTTGGCGTTTTCAGATGTGCAATGTCGATGCTCTGCGAACACAATTCCAGTGCACCTTTAAAAAGTATATTTCAGATGCCCGTTCACGGAGATTTCTGAAGAAAAACTAAAACACTTAACTTGTGATGTCTTAATTTTTGTATGACAGAAAATCTGTCAGCTTTCTTACTTTGTTGGTCAAAATTAAACAAAGTCTTATGTGCACAAATGTTGCTGAGAGAAGTTTAATACCTCAGCTTCAAACAAATTTACAACCAGATGCATAAAATAATGTCTGATTTAATCTCATTAGATGTTTTGTAATTGGTGCAACAAAAGGTGTTGCTTTTACTGTTGTTTTTAAAAGAGAAAATGTATCTTGAGAGATAAAACTTTGCATCTGTCTGCTACTTTGAATGAAATCAGTTTGTCCTAAGTGTATCTTAAAAATACAAACGAATGTTTGGAGCTGAATTATGAACTTTGCTTTAGACATTTTTAAAAATCATAGTGAAATGTTATTATTAATTACCATCTGTGAATTGCTAATGGCGTACAATCATGTTATATTTGTCCTACGTTGGTGAAAAGAAAAATTAAAAATGGTGTAAAATAACTCATTTTAGCTTTTTCGTTGCATTTGCAATGAGCAGCTCCCTGTTGTTTGATGCGACTCAGCGCCATGTTTTAACTCTCTGTGGGTTTCACTGAGCAGGATCTGGTTTTCTGTAGCATATTTAAAACGTAGAGAAAACGGTGCACGTCTGCACGTGCTGTCGAATGATTGTTTATCATGTTGCACACGAGAACGGTACTTTTTAAGAAAATATTTTTGAAGATTTTGCAATATTTCTACAGGCATTTCTTTCTGTTAGGAGTCGACATCGTCAGATAGCCGTTTGTTTGCACAGACCACTTCAACAGAAAATTCATGAACTACTTAAGTGTTTGTGTCAAAATATGAAATGTTTTATCGATGAGAAACAAAAAAATATATATTAACGTTATTTACGTGGTGTAGATAATCGATGCAGGACCACATGAAGCTCTATCTGCCTGTGTGTTTGTTCTTTCAGGGAATTCTGGGAATTAATCCGCTAAAACATCCGGTTTGTTCTGGTAGATTTTCCCAAAAATAATTTTAGGAAATCAGAATGACTTTCCACCACTTGGTCTTCCATATATAACACAGATTTTGTTCTTTATTTATTATCTTTGTAAACCTTAGTTTTGTCTCGTTGAGGTGATTAAGTAGCCTAATAACCTCTTTCGATTCAAGTCTAAGGCGTAAATTTGTTTTTGCAATGAATTGCATTGGTTTTTTTGTTTTTGTGGAGAATGAATTAATAAAACATACCAGTGAAAATCCTCAAAAGTGGACAAACGTCTGTAAAAGAGGGAATATGAACGTTTCTCTAATCTTAAAGGGCTCATATCGTCTATTATTTAACTTTGGTTTTCAGGGTCATTTCCATAATTGAAATGTCCAAAATATGGAAGAGAAAAAACAAGAAGCTGCACATAACAAACCTTGTTAAAGTTTGCTTTCTTTGCTGTTACCAGACATGGACAGAGTACCAAACATTTTACTTAAAGTTTATTTATATTGCACATATACAACAACGTCAGCTGAACAAATACTTTACAACAAACACATCACAAGTATATAAATGATTACATTGAAAATAACATTTCAGTTTAGTAAAAATAATACAATTATAAAATTGACAAAAATACCAAAAGCCAACACAATACATAACTTTAGCCCCAGTGATTTTAACTTTTCTCTTTAATTGGTGCTGAAGGCCAAGAAAATGGAGTAGCACGACTTTGACATATTTCTAACCAGGCAAAAGTAGAATCTGGTTCAAAATAAAATAAACAATTAGAGCAAAATCTAGACTTATTTCATGTGACTGAGGTCAAACTGCTGTGTTCGCAGCCAAACAGACTTTAACAATAAACTGGAAGAAGAGCTAAAAGGAAATAAACAATTTTTAAAAAATCTTAAGAAAGAAGTGGCAACAATGTATCCACAAGTTATTATAAACTAACCACTACTATAATAATTATTATTATTTTAAAAACAAAGTCAATGCCACATCCAAAAGTAACAAGAAAAACTAAAATTAAGTCCAATTTATGTTCAGTAGTCCAAATAAATGTTTTTTTCTTCTGTCCATTCAACAGCAGAAATTTAAAGATGCTATTCTTTGGCCAAACCGAAGGGTGGCGCTGTTCGCCACAATAAGGATGTATTTTATTTTAATGACATACATCCTTATTAAAGGATAGAAAATAGAGTAGCACGACTTTTAACCAGGCAAAAGTAAAAGTTACATTCAAGAGTATAAAAGTATTTGGTAAGAAATCTGCTCAAGAACTGAGTAGCTGATCAAAGCACCAATAATTTAACATTTAAAATTCACATCATTAGATGATCAAAGTATTACTACAAAAAAAAAGGTGTTTTATGGACCGAAATGAAATGAATTTGCATAAGTTACAAAATGAGGCAAAAGAAACGTTTTACCAAATTAATTTCTTTCGTTATAAAACTGATTAAACTTTAATAAAAACGACAAATCTCTGTCTGGTTTTGGTTAAAACAAACTTGGTCTTTATTCAGTGAAGTTTATTCAGAAACTTTACTCAAGTAAGAGTAGAGATACTTCATTCTGAAATCACTCAAGTCAAAGTAAAAAGTACAGCAGAGTAAAACTACTCTTTAAAGTATTTTATTCCCCTAAAAGTTACTGATGTAAATGTAACTAGTTCTACCAAACTCATCATCCATATTTGGTAAAGCCTTCCTGTTTTAGGCTCTTGTTGTTTCAGAAAAACAGTTTTAAATTTATTTGCCTGCTTTGAAAAGCCAAATTGAATTAATATTTTTAAATATGTTTTCAGTCTCTGAACTGTGATGATATTTTCCCTCTAAGGATAAAAGAGTATTATGTTTGTTTCCGTGAATCTGATCATCTGTTTGAGGATTTTCCTGGATTTAACGAGTTGTTGATGCATTGATGTTTTCATTTGCACATGTCAGCTGCTGGTTCAGATGACAATCACAAAAAACACGACTTTTATTTAACCTTTCAAATGATTTGTAATTATTTATGATACAAGGGAAATAGTTTTAAAAAGTTTTAAAAAGGCAGATCCATCCTGTGGTTTGTGTTTGATCTCTTCAGATGTCTGGTGTAGTTTCTTTTATATATATTTTTTTTTTTGGCTGATCTGTTTCTTCTGTCCTATTAGATATATTTGATTTAAACCCTGTGAGTTTCTATCAATGCTGTCTTTATCATCTGCATGGAAATTGTAAAATTATTCAAGTGTTTTTGCTTCATCCGAAAGTATTGTACCTGTTTTTATTTCTTTTTTTAAGTGTATCATTGCTCTGACGAACAATTTTCAAGCATCATTTTATGAACTGACTTTTTTCCTGAGTCATAAATTTGGTTTTATAAAACAAGTTTTCTTTATCATGTCTCATTAAAATCTGTTTTCTTTGGGAACTTGTGTTGATTTTTTTTTTCTAAAAAAGTTTATTGTGCAGCAATTAAGTTTTTAGCAACTTAGATCCCGTCTAGAAATAATATGCTGTTCACAAAACAGAACAGGAGTTGCAGTGAACTCAGACACAATGAATGAATTAATATTTATCAAATTTCCCAAAGGAATTTAAGTTGTATCCTCCTGATTCTTCCGTCAGTGTCTCATGGCATTATGTGAAAAAATAATTTTTACAAAAGAGAGAGAAAAAATATGTATTTCCTCATTATGAGATTATAATTATGAGATTGCTAAATCATAATTAGAGAAACTTTTATTTTTTTTCATCAGAGTGGCAGAAATAGACTTTATTATTAAAGCAACAGTGAACAAAATTATGCACCTAAATGCACCATTTGGTGTTTAATAAATGGAAAACATAACTCAATTTTATTTGGTTAAATTATTAAAATAACATTTGTATTTTGAATGTATTTTTTCAATGCTATTGAACAAAATGTTTAAAAATAAATATGCATTTATATTTATAAAATACAAATTATATCTAAATATTTATATAAATGTTTTATATTTTTAGTATAATTTATATATTAGAAACATGAATTATATTTACATAATTACAAATATGTAAATATACATATATATTTTAAAAATTATGTAATTTATTACATATAAGTTATACTGTATATAATTGATATGTATTAGTATATAAATTACATATAATGAGCAAAACTTCAAATGTGATGACAACATAAAAGAGTCAAGTAGAGATACATATTCTAAATAAACTTGATACTTTAGTACAAAATTAATAAATCCAGGGAAAAAACACTAAAGTAAATGATGTATTTTTTAATTTTACGTTTAGTTTCTGTGTACGCAGTGTGACGTAATGACGTCGCTCTCATTGCGGATGTAAACAGAGCTCGCCGCACATGGAGCCAAGAGCGGGGATGCTGCTGACTGCGGAGCGGTTTGTCTGTCCGGGGAAGGGGAACGGTCTCCGGGCCACAGCCGGGATCAGCCGGGGTCAGCTGGTGACCTCCGCCGAGCCGCTGGCGTCCTGCGTGTCCGGCAAACGGGCCAGAGAGGTCTGCCACCACTGCTTCACCCGGTAAGGCCGGTTCGAGTCCAAACCGTGAGGGTCCATCTCACCATGCGAGTTACTCTGTATTTTAGCTAACAGAAGCTGAAAGATGTTTTGGGGTTTTTTTAAAGTGTATTTTTGTTTATTTTGTTGTAAACTGCGTGTGTGTGTGTGTGTGTGTGTGTGTGTGTGTGTGCGCTCCAACAAACCTGCTTTTAAAAAGTTGCATTGCTTCCTCTGCTTGCTGCACAATTAATGTTTTCATTTAAATCAGGTGTTAAATTGTTTTACACGGATTCAAACCTAATGTAGTTATTCAGTGGGCCACCAAGTGGCGCTCTTGCTCTTTGCTGAAATGTAACATTGTTAACTCGTTTGTTGTAAAGCAGCGAGTTTATTATGAAGGATTTTTGTAAAGCTGGAATTACTTGAGTCTCCTTGTGTTTTATGAATGATTAATGCTCTCAAAATGTTATAAAATAAGCATCTGCGATAGATTAGTAATTACTACAGAACTAGATGAAGTTGAGCCTCATGTGGAAATTCTGAAACTTCCTTGTTTTGTCTCTAAAATTTCAGAGATTGATCTAAAAAAAATTCAGTTTTTGGGTGGAAATTTTCTCTTTTTTTCTATCTACAATGGACACCTGAACACAACACAATAACAGGAGAGAAAATTGAGTTACTGAAGGAGTTCGAAAAGTCAAAAATCTGCTAGAAAACAAGAACCCCCAACTCAGTTTTATGTGCAAATGCACATAAAAAGCTCTGCAAAGACATGGACGAGTTTACAACTGTGCATCTTTGAAGAGCAGAAGTCGAGCCTTCTGCACAACCAACAAGAACACAGCGCAAACAGCAGATGAACCAGCTGACCAAACATGCTGGTGCTCAGCTTGGGTTGCTAGGTGAGGTTGCTAAGCAAGGGGCAGTGCCTGCTGATTTGTGATTTACAGCTCGTTTTCCAGACCCCACAAAACTTTTTTTAATAGTTGGGCAGTTTTTAGGAACAGCAGGGACCCAAATGGAAGCATGAAAACATTCAAAATGTGAATTTTACACAACAGTTTCCCCCTAAGGTAATGAAGTGATTCTTTAAATGGTTCTTTAGGAATTTTTTTTGGTAGAGAGCGTAATTTATAGTTTCATCAGTTATAGGTAGATGTTGTTTTATTTAAATACTGTTAATTGTCGGCAGGTAATAGGCCATGTAGACCTTTGACAAAGCTACACTTATGCAGAAAGAGATTGTAGCTTTCATCACTCCTGCAGTGGTTATGAAAAACAAGGAAGAGAATCTGCTAACGAAGACGAGTCGGCCAGTCGGCTGACTGGGGCAGAACCAGTTACAGCCAGAAGCCTCCACTGTAACCTGACATGTAGTCAATATCTAAACAATATGCAGCAAAGAAGATGAAATTACAACTAAAGGAATCAATAAGAGAAAAAATTACACCACTTACAGTTTCCACTCTTTAGGCAATCAGCAGTTTATGTGTATGTTGAGGTGTGGGCTCGGTGGGGGTCAAAGGTCAAAGCTATAATGATATTTTTGAGATATTGAATAAATGTTATGGCTGCATTTTGCTGCAGCAGACACTCATCAGAGCCGAGGTTCAGAAAGCTTTATTGATTTATTTTCTGAAGACCTGCAAGTTGTCTTGATGTCTCACAAACTGCTGGACGGCATGAGGCGGCGTGTGCATGAACGCAGTGTGTGATCTCACACGTGTGGCGCGCATTTTTGTAGTTTTCCTAAAGCACAATTAGCTTCACAGCATGACAGGGTGTTGAAAAAAACGCGTCTCTGAACGTGCGATTGTTTGTTTGGCCGTATCACTGGAAGAACAGAGTCTGTTCCTGTGTTTGTGTGTCCAGGAAATGAGCATCGAAACTGGAGTTAATTACAGGCCTTGAAGGCTGCAGGTCCGTAATGAGTGATAAAAGCTGAGGGAATAAACTCAGACACACAAAACGTAACAGGATCAACAACTAAACAAACAGCTTTTATGTTCTCACACTCACAGCAAAGGTCGTGGAGGTCAGGAGAAAAATGTTAACAGCAAGAAAAATGTCAGGTTTTTTATTATTCGCTAGTAAGAAAGGAAACTTCAAAGTGAGGCGTTATTCTTGATATTTTAATATTTAAGTACTTGTGTAGCAAAGTCTAAAAAAACTTGTCTAAGATACACCACTGCCTGTCGCAATGAAAATGTTTGCTGGCAAATGGATATACTGCAACAGATTATAATGTTGTTGTGAGACTATTTTGAAGTTTATATTGATGATGGAATAATAACACAAAGACCTTTAAACTTTAATTTAATAAAAAACTCAACATTGGAAGATATTTAAAAATCCAAAATAAAACATGAGAACTAAAACAATAAATAAAACAGAAACAAAACCCAAACACGAGAGGAACCGTAAAAAATGATTTTAAAATGATATTCTTAAAAATATATTTTCAGGCTTGTTTTACTCAATGGTTACTTGCTTATTGTGACAGGTTTAGCTAAAGCTAATTTTTTTTGTTCAAGAAAATAAAATCATGACGGGGGAAAAAGAAAGCAAAATAGAGAAGATCTAAAATTTCAGCTTACAGCTCAGATTTGAGTTCAAAAGTGAAAAAAAGATTTTAAGGCATTTTATCTATTAAAAAATATGCCATAAATGGTCACAAATGGTCACTTGCACACATAGCGAACTAGCACTCTACCAGGGGATTTAAAAGCTCTCTTTGGGGAGCGCAGCCTGCTTTTAAACATCCACAGTCGTGAAGTCCAGTTTCTGACAAAAATTCTAATTTGAAACCCAGAAATGTCACAGCATTATTAGTTTGCACAATAGTTCTCCATTAAGACTGTCTGCAAAGTCACAAGACTCTAAAGGCACATTAGTTTTTTAAGCATATGTATAGATGTATATGGTAAAATGTTTGATAGTCTTTACTGATATATCCAGGCTGTTTTATCTGCAGTGCCATTTGCAGTTTAAAATAAAACACGCTCCTTAAGCAAAGCTAAAAAAGCCAAAGGGACGTTCATCTCGGCTGAATTCTCTAAAGACAGATGCTGAGCGGTGGTACAACCACGACTTGACAGTTTTTGTTTTGCCTGCCTGAAACTGATGAAAGAAGTTTTAGAAATGGATGAAAGTAGTGGAGGAGCCACTGATAGAGATAGCAGAGAAAACAGATTACAGCCCAGATATTTAATGCTTTTCAGCCTGTGTGTGTTGGGGTGTGCGTACATGGGGTAGGGGCCACACTTCTTCCGTCAAGTGTTTATATTTGACACCAATCTCTCACTCCGCGTCTCTTTGGACCATGTGCAAACACACACCGCAGATAAAAACAAACATCTAAGAGCTCTTGTCTTATTTATAGACCAAAGCATTTGATTGAAAGTCAGATGACACCAGTTTCCACGGGTCTTTGTTATTTTTAAAGAACACAGACAGAAATATTGACAGGCAGTCTAACTTGAGATGCTTGTTCTAATTTCAGCTGATGCCTTTTAGCTGGAGGCTGAAGAACAAAGAAGAGAAACATTCATAGCAGGCGAGTGTTATCAGCAAACTCTGACAGCGCCAATCATAGTTGTGAAAACATGGGAGTTCTCTTTAGGTTCTTTAACTGTTGGGGGAAATGATTGTGTAACACAAGCCTAAAGCCCAGATCATAACACCGCCTCCACTTTCTGATCAGAAGCTGGAAGGTATTATAGCATTTCTCCAGTTAGCGCGAGACTTGGAGGTTTATTTTGATTGTTTTTTTACCCAGAATGCCCTGCATTATAGTTTTCCTCCTGCTTTTGGAGCGGTGTCCAGTCTGCTTGCATTCACATATGCATTAGAATCACGTTAGGGTTCACTTCCACCAACTCAAGACCTGGTTTTTAGACGGATTTTGGA